CCAGCATGGATCCAGACCAGCCTGCGCTTCCGCGCAGTCTGATCAGGATCCATGCTGTTCGCTATCAGTTTCTCTACTTGTTATAGGGTCTGTAAGCGAACACCATGGATCCTGATCAGACTGCGCAGATGCGCAGGCTGGTCTGGATCGATGCTGGTCGCAAACGCACTATGTTGGTTTTGTCGTGACGCGGCTCATTTATTGTGCAACATGTAATGTAATGATGGTGTAGCGTATAATTGCATTAAATTAATTATGCGCATACACTTAAAGGAAGCAAAACAATTGGAATAGTGAGGAGGTAGACAGTTGCAATAACGTCAAGATAGAAAAAACATATAATTTCTGAAATGGTTAAATATATTTTCCAGTTGTCTACGAATTTTGCATATAGATTTGTGACTTTGAAGACATGTACATTACGCAGCTACAAACACCGCGAAGTTCCCTTTAGTGACGAATTGAATTAAAGTGAAAGGAATGAAATGAGGAATGTCAAATAAATACATCCATACAAGTCATAACAACAAAAAAATAATTTAATCTATAATGCTTAATCTTACTAGATATGAAAGTGGTTTATATACGGCCATGTTTGAAGTAAGGGAGGCAACTTTGCAAGACATTCCAACAATATAACATACCGAGTTACCTCTCTTAAAAGCAACTTAAATTAGAACAAAAACTGTTGCCAATATTGTTCTGGAAAAATTCTGGTAATATTGCTTTATATTGGTCACCCTAGCGATGTTATCTCACTTTTAACAACGTCCATGTCTTAGACCAGATATTCTTAACCTATAAAACCAATTACTGGATAAAATTATCGCAAATCACTGAACATATAAAACAAGAATATAGGTGGTGAAAATTCAAGAAAAGCATTGCTGAGAACAAGAAACTATAAAAAAGTTTAATAGCGACAATACGACAAAGCGCGCTATCGGCGTGTTGTCACGCTGTCGTCTTGTCATCCTGTCGCTAACGATGCACGCCAAACGGGGCGTTGTCGTGCGGCGCGTTATCGCGATGTCGCCCTGTCGCTTGGATTATACGCCAATCCATCTATTTGAACCGGGCGATAATGTGTCATCGCGACAACACGCCGCACGACAACGTGCCGTTCCGCGTGCATCGTTAGCGACAGGACGACAAGACGAAAGTCCGACAACGCGCCGTTTGGCGCTTTGTCCTGTTGTTGCTAGCGCCAACACGACGCACAAAAGCGTTTCAAATCAGCCACCAAACTACTAGTATAAGGTACATCATGTAAACCTCCATCTGCATGGTTTGTTTGTATAAAATGGGGCGTTTAATATTGTTATTAGTGCTATCTTCACTTGCCATAAACAACTTGTTTACAACTATTGCATGGAAGCACTGTAGAATGTCAGAGTTGAAATCCTCTTTGAAGTCGTTTTGCAAAGAAATTGGTAAGCTAACCTTATATAGCAAGATTTTTTTATGTGTAAACCATTTCATTCCTCTTTAATGCCACAAATTTTAGGTAAAATTAGGGACCATTTCTCATAATGTAAGTCTGTGGGAAAATCAATACATTCTTCACGAAAAACCCGCGGGAACCTCAACTTCAGAGAGTGATTTCACTCATTAACTTCAAACCCTAAACACTGGACCTCTCTAAATATCGGATATAAGAAAGAACGTCGTGGAAAATAGTGTGAGCATAATTATGACATCACTGGGTCCTAGCAATAGTGACGTCAAGTGTTCCACAATAGAAGCGCGGGGATGTTTTTTCTCCGCGAAAAATCAAAATATAATATTCGCAATATTTTCAAAACGTTGCTTAGATTACATAGAGTTGTACCTTATTCTACAGGAAATTTTAGCTGAATCTTGGACTTACAATATATCTTAAGTCCCAGGCGCAATACATAAATTAAACAATCATTTCTTTATTTGTTTTAGAAAGCTTTAGATTATAGTCTACCCTAAACATTTTTTTAATTCAGTGACTATACTAAAAGACAATATTTTAGAATATAAAGCTAATTCAGTCCAGCTTGCAAGGTATAATGTCATTATACTGTAGTTCTATATAAGGTTCTCTGCTACTGATGAACGTGCCAAATTCTGGAAAAAAAGAAGAAGAAAAAAAACACATTAAATTTCATAAATTGTAAATTCGACTTACAGGATGTTTCTAAATTCTAAATTTTACCATTTCATGTTAAAATGTTGAATTCCTCTTAAGCCGGTGCTAGGGTGCGTGGACGGTAGTTTGCACTTGGCAGTATCGTCCATAAACAGGCTCAATCAAACCGAGTCTGCAACATTGTCAATTTTGCCGTTTTGGGCTTTCTTTGGGTATTCATATTTTCTTTATGTTACAAAACATCATAAATAGGTAACTTTGTTTAAAAAGTTGGAAAAATTGTTAGTTACTATTTGGCGGCAAGGGCGTGTTGTCGTCAGCTTACCAGACTAGTAAACTATATGTTTTCAAAACCTGTCAGGGACGAACCGTTGTTTTACATGAGCAAGAAACTTAATTACACTCATTGCATGGTAAAGGCTGCTTCGAGGAACGGATTCTAGAGTATGCTTATAGTTTTCTACACAATCAAATAAAAATTCATTCTGTATAAAAAACTAATTGTGAATAACGAAGTACCTGTAGTAATAAAATGAAAGTGTACATGAATAATATCATTAGGCTTGATTTTCTATCAAACCGTCCAACATCGTAAAATTGAGGAACAAACAATATAAAAAGCACAAAAAAAAAACCCACAAAAACAACAACAACAAAAATAAAAAAAAAAAAAAAAAAACATATCTATAATGCAAACACAATTTTTATTCACACAATTTTATCCTTATATATCTTAAAATTGTAAAATTTCAAGTCATTTTCTAAAACTTACTAGAAATTCTTGTTTATCTTCATTGGAAGGCCCCTGAAAAATGCTTCCAAAGTACAGTATTCTTAACCAAAATTCTAGCAGAATGTGTTGCCACGAACTACCACATCCGCTAACCAGTGCTGGTGTTAGTGCCAGGTTTGTCTTCATACAATTAAATACATCGGTCATCATCCTTAAAAGAGACAAAATATTATAATATTATGCGTGAATTTGTGACTTGTATATACTTGTATATAAAATCAGGACGTATTATTATGGTGCATAAACAGGACTACCGTGCATTGTTATGTTAATTGCCCATAAGCCAATTGGTGTTCTTCTTAATAGTGTTACATATATAGCGAACAGTACTTTTAGGAAAAACTCCGGCAACAAGATCACAAAATAGCCGAAATTGATCTTTCGTTTCAACTTCAAATATTTCAAAGTTCACTACACAGGTTCAAACATACTATAAAAAACTGAAGTAATTGCATGAGAAGAATAATTATCAAAATGTTACACGCAGGCGATTTAAACATACACCGCATATGTTGAATTTAATCTTAAAAGCACTTGGCTTTAAGCACTTGGCTTTGTTGCTGTTGCTGTTGTTGTTGTTGTTGTTGCACGTGGTCAGAAAGGAGAATAAAAAGCTGGTCAGATTAAAAATGGGTCCGTATTTTGATTTCTAAATGAAACACAGCTGTCTGTATGCTTCATTAAGTAAATTCATTGATTTACTTTACTCGATTCTATGTTCTAAGTTATTTACCAAGCATGCGCACGGCGTTGAAGCAAGGTCTTGACGTTTTTCAACCTATATTTAACAATGGGCGATTATACTGATCTTTTGCCAATGTTGAATCAACGTCGGTAATGGTAGGACTTTAATTTTTATTTGTTTCAATTGTCTAGACTTGATTACATCTGATTTCGTGTAATTATTTTTCAATGACATTATGTGCAAAAACCGAAAGCAAGTTCACTTTTAAATTCTATTTTGGAATCAGCATTTACAATAATTAAGTCACTTTCCATAATCAGACTGTAGTTGAAAATGACGTCAATTGCTTTTTTTTTGATGCAGGTTTTAAATAAGACCTAAGTTCAAAAATGGCCGTAGTAGGTTTCCGTAAGGAAGTTCCCTTTTCCATCTATTTTTTAATTTTAAAACGTTTCGATTATAAAAATATGTTTTTTAAAATAAAATTCTGCTTAAGCCATTGCTAGGGGACACTTTCTAGTACCGCACATGAAAATGCTCAATCAAACCGAGTCTGCAGTATTTTAAATTAAGTCGTTTCGGAGTTCTTTAGACTCTTTATTTTAAATATGACATAAAAATCACTTGCCTTGGAATGATTGCCGATGCCGTTTCATAAGATGTTATGCGGTCGCCGAGTTGATTTTGAGCATAGAACTCCTTAATACAACTGGTGTGCAACTCGCCGAGGGGACCTTCTGAACAAGTACGATTTATGGAAACCCCGTCCGGAACCACTAAAACATAGAGATATTTTTATTACAAATAGCAAAAGTTAGATTAATACGCATGCGCATAGCACTGCAAACATGAAATGATATAATGCTCTTTATATGTCAAAAGATGTTCAGCTATATACGAGTGAACAATAATTGCATTGTTGTATACAATCTAAAATTTTGGTAAGATATCAAAATGCAATGTTTTGAATAAAATATTTTTGTGCAAAAAATCAATGACCCCTTCGTACCTAATTGTATCCACTGTGATACGTCATTACCTTCACAAAACATGTTCAGCTTATTTCTTATAGAATTGGCCACCTCGGCATATTGCTGTGGACATTCAGTAGATATTGATTTCATGCAGTCTAGGTAGGTGTCTTTGTGCGCCACGCTACTGTAATGATATCATTTCTAAAATAATCAGTCATTGGGTTACAAAGAGGACTTCATGAATTCAAATTCAAAATGCAAGTTTTAAAATTCGCGATATCATCTTCAAGAATTCAAGATCTCAACTTCAAGAATTCACAATTGTGACGTTAATTTCAAATTACAATTTCGTCATATGACGTCATTACAAAAGCAATTGTAAGAAAAAAGTTTTCTGCCCTTGAAATGGACTGAAATGTAGATAACTTGAAAAGGACGTTGGTAACCCTATTAATTTTCGTGATATCCTAGCAATTATTTCTTGCAGCAAATGATGCAAATCGCGTTGCAAGTACTAGAGCCACATGACCAAGAAGAAATAAATTATTAAAGTTTGATTAAATTCATGCATTTCAAAATATAAATTCATGACGTAGTAATAAAGATAATGTATCGTGAAAACGCGGAGTTATATAATTGTTTATTCATAAAGTTGAAATCAAGTATTCGTGAAGTTCAAAAATAATTTCGTGAAGTTATATTCAGGAAAGTGACATCGTGAAGTTAACGTCGACCGCTCGTATCTTCACTATGTTGTAATCGTGAACTTATTTAGTTGTCCTTGTGAATTTCTGAAGATAAAATGGAGAGCTCGTGGAATTGAAATGTTTTCCGTCTACCGTAGTTTATGCACAACGATATAAATTTTATCGCGGCTACTTTCGGATGTTTCAAAATTCAAAATTGTACCAGTTCTTGTTAAATGTTGAATTCTGCTTAAGCCGGTGCTAGGGCGCATGGACTGTAGTTTGCACTTGATAGTACCGTCCATAAACAGGCTCAATCAAACCGAGCCTGCAACATTTTCAGTTTTGCCGTGTTGGGATTTCTTTAGGGATTCTTATTTTCTCTATTTTCTCAGAACTCACAAGCATGCATAAAGCATGCACATTTTATTACTTACAATCATAATTTGTCATGTTCCATGACATCAAGAAGGTTTATCATAAACATATGTATGATATTTAATACTACTGCAGCCTGTTGTATTAAAGAAATCGTATCGGTATCGTTTTATCTTTTTAAGCACCATTTTGGGTAGTCAAATTTGGGTGTTATTTGTGCTAACTGGATATCAAAACAGAGATGAAAGTCTCAAGTTTGTACGCAAAATTCTTGAAGCCAATGTTTAAGAAATAACATCGGTCTAAGCGGTTTGATCGGCTATTTATCACCGGTTTATTTATTTACCGGTTTTTCTTCTTTTTTCTATAGTGACAAAATCCCGAGGAGTGTTCGAATATTAAACATACATTTTACAACCCGAAACATGAAAGTCTGTGTCATTTTATAAATGCATAGAAATGTATTACCTGCAGGTCGCCCGGACGTCACTTATAAAATCGTTTCGTATCATAAACATGTCGTTATCCCTGCAAGACATATCATGCGTAGCATAGTAGAAATACGACCTACAGTTGTCACTTCTCTTAGAAAATTCGCCAGGATGGCTGGATATATATTGAATATGAACCACAATTAGAACCAACACTGTAACTGAAACATATAAAAAAAAATGTAAAATAAAACTATTTATTTTGATGGTGTATTAGCTTAAACTATCCGGAAAGGAGAGGTTAAAGACAAAACCCAAAGGGAATGGTTGAGCAGAATGGTTAAACACAACATCCGAAATTTAGGAGTTTATTCTCTTAATTACATGTAGCTCTACATCTAAACTCAAACTAGAAATACAACGTGTATATCTATATCATGCTTGTAACATTATATGAGAAGGTTAGTACGAGCTCACTTTATTGTTTTGACAAATTGTAAACGGATACAGGTTAAAGCATTCGTTAAGCATAATTATTTAACAAATTCGTTGGTGGATATCTGTCATTTGTCTCTTTACCGCTGTGTTGCTGGATATTATTAATTTCTTTGAATGAGAAATGATAAACTGTGCAAGATTATTCTTCTTATGGGTGTACCTACACAATCGGACTGAAATATGTTCTGTATAAAATAAGTTCACTAAATAAATCCTAAAAATTTCGTATATAACGTTACTTTATTACAAATTTATTTTAAAAGATGAATTATCAAAAGTATCAATAATTAGATATCGTAATTAAATATTATTTGTTGGATGTAATTTCTTGTGAGTGAAGACAATCTCACAATACAATCAAAAATAAAATGTAAAAGTGTAAAAAAAGAATGAAATAAAAAATAAATAAAAAGTATTTATTACTATACCTAGAATTCCCATGTTTTAACCGTCACTGTTTCTCAAATAAATCGCTCCTCACAACCATACGAGGAAAAATCTCTTGATTTAATATGCTAAAACAATCTAAATGTCAACTATTATAGCAGTTTATGACTAAATGTAACAAGTATAATAATGGTAAATAACGTATAATGACGTGAAATTACAACCATGCTAGTAAAATATTCTATTCACATATGATTTGATAAATTAATTAATGTCACATACGGCGCCCCCAAAAACAGAAAGTACCGACTTAAATTACAGCACTAGATGACTGGTACAATTACTCATTTGATACTTACAGAATTATGTTAGTTCTCATATCTGAAACAGTTTGATATTTATACTCATAAATGGTTCAAAACTTGGTTTTTTATTTTTATTTTTGTAATAAACTTTATATCAACATTATGTATGTTGATGTGCCAAAAGCAATACGTAAATGCCATTGACGTCTTGCCTTGATTAAATATCCTGTCTGTTTTGTGATTGATATTGTTACTGTGTGTATACCACACTTGCAAAAAATTATATATGTTTATAATTATGCAAATAAAACAATTTTCAAACATCGAAGAATATGTAAAATGTGTACTGCAAATATTTGTGCACATTATATTTAATCAATAAATTACATGCATTCATTTCTTATTGGAAAATTTGACTTTTGACTAATTACCTCCCTTTATTTACATGAAATGTTAAATTGGATAATATCTCTATAAATAATGCTTATTGGAACATACTATATTGACAAATCTTAATTTGAGCATCATATTTATGAAATAAAACCATGAAAAAATTGTGTTACATTTCATGATCTTAAAATGAGGTGAGTTGAGTTAAGTCAAACTTCTTATGTCTTTGTTATATATTTTCATGTTCAGCGACCTCTAATATGATTAAGAGTAAAGTTCAACAAATAACGAACACATATATAGAACAGCTGATAAAGTTTTTGAAAGGTGGTTATATAAACTTGTTCCTACTGATACAATTCTATATCTTATCATTGTAGTTTTATTGTACAAAATTGTCACTCTTTATCTTCAACAAAATGGCGTCTATACTACTGGCTGTTCTAACGGTACTGTCGTTCCAGTACACACAAGGTATTTTTTTTCCTTTATTCTCATGTTTTTTTACATTTTGCATTCATTTATCATTTAACCCATTACGCGATATACACGCCTTTTAACGCAGTTTTCACCCTTTCCCCCTATTTGTGGTCTCAAATGGTGAAAAATTGCCTTATTAAGGGCCCCCAACACTTGCTTTTGTTTAAGAAATGTTGTTAAAAAATGTGACCATTTTTTCGGCGCGGCCCCCTTTCCAAAAGATACATCAGGGGGTTGCCAGAAGAAGGGTTTAAGGGGTGGCAGTTCCCCTCATCGCCAAGACAAATTTGGACTTGTGAGAGGCTAAAAATGACCCCAGGTTGATCATAAAGTAACGTGTAACTAACGCTGAAAAGCCTTTGACTCTATCTTTAATCCATTGAGAAGTTGCAGCACTTTTGAATCAATTTTGATGGAAAAATACAAACGCAAAATATTTTTTTGGCCTTTTTCCAAAAAAACAAAAAATTTTAAACGACAGTCGATACAAACTTTTCTCAAATTTGTCCCAATTTTGTTTTATTTTGAAGCTTTTTTAATTTTTTATACATTTAATGAACAACCAAGAAAACACCTTTTTTCACAAAATCTCACGAATGTCTTTTAAACAGGGGTTATTTTAAATTCCAAAAACCATGAAGTGAACATCAAAATTTAATAAATATCACTTTTTTGTAAAATAGCTTTCGCTGTTTAAAATTTTTGCAATCGTGACTTGAAAATTTTTGCAAAATATTTTAAAACCATAAAAAAGTAGTTTAAACAATTTTTTTTAAATAGATCTTTGTATTTTTTTTTCCTTTATTAAAAATGACTATCTTTGGGGTTTTTTTACAAATTTTAAATTTTTCTTTCCAAAAATTTTTTTAATTTTCACTACTCAAAAAACAATAAACCAGACGTCATTTCACTACAGGAACGTCAACGCTTTGTCTGGATGGTTTGGTTGCCATTTAAAGGGTCATGCTACCAATTTTATGACGAGGATAAAGTTGATTGGTCAGAGGCTGTGGTAAGCAAACACTTGTATTACATTGTTCAATGGTAGGGATACCTTTGTATTACCATTGGCAATGGTTAAGATACCTTTGTATTACATTGTTAATGGGTAGGATACCTTTGTATTTACATTGCAATGGTAGGATACTTTGTATTCATTGTTATGGTAGGATACCTTTGTATTACTTTTGTCAACGGTAAGATATACCTTTGTAATTACATTGTTTAATGTTAGGATACCTTTTTATTACATTGGCAATGGGTAGGATACCTTTGTATTTGCATTGTCAATTGTTGGATACCTTTGTATTTTACAATTGTCAATGGTAAGCAAAACACTTTGTTTACATAGTCAATGGTAAGATACCTTTGTATTACATTGTTAATGGTAGGATACATTTGTATTACATTGACAATGGAGGGATACCTTGTATTACATTGTCAATGTAGGATACCTTTGTATTACATTGTCAATGGTAGGATACCTTTGTATTACATTGTCAATGGTGGATACCTTTGTATTACATTGGCAATACCTTTGTATTACATTGTATTTTACTTTGGTATTACTGGCAATGGTTTGATACCTTTGTATTACATTGTCAAAATCAATGGTACCTTTGTATTACAGGATACCTTTGTATTACATTGTCAAATGGTAAGATACCTTAGTATTACATTGTCAATGGTGGGATATCTTTGTATTACATTGTCAATGGTAGGATACCTTAGTATTACATTGTCAATGGTAGGATACCTTTGTATTACATTGTCAATGGTAGGATACCTTTGTATTACATTGTCAATGGTAGGATACCTTTGTATTACATTGTCAATGGTAGGATACCTTTGTATTACATTGTCAATGGTAGGATACCTTTGTATTACATTGTCAATGGTAGGATACCTTTGTATTACATTGTCAATGGTAGGATACCTTTGTATTACATTGTCAATGGTAGGATACCTTTGTATTACATTGTCAATGGTAGGATACCTTTGTATTACATTGTCAATGGTAAGCAAACACTTTGTATTACATTGTCAATGGTTGGATACCTTTGTATTACATTGTCAATGGTAGGATACCTTTGTATTACATTGTCAATGGTAGGATACCTTTGTATTACATTGTCAATGGTAGGATACCTTTGTATTACATTGTCAATGGTAGGATACCTTTGTATTACATTGTAAATGGTAGGATACCTTTGTATTACATTGTCAATGGTAGGATACCTTTGTATTACATTGTCAATGGTTGGATACCTTTGTTTTACATAGTCAATGAGAACCTTTTTTTAATTGTCAAAAGTAGATACCCTTTTAACCCTCCCCCCAAGGTAATACCTTTTTAAACATTTTAAATGTAGGGTTCCTTTTTATTTCATTTCAAAGTTTAAAATACCTTGGGATTACATTTCAATGGTATAATCTTTTATTACATGTCAATGTAGGGTACCACATTACTCCACCAAATACCCCAAACCGACTTTTTTTTTTAAACATCCCGTCGATTTTTGAAGATAAACTTTTTTTATTTAAGAAACTTTGAATACAAAAAAATGATGCAAGGGACCAAAATTGGTTTCAGTATTTTAAAATTTAAGAAAAAGTTAAAATTTTTTTTAATTTAACTATAAGTCATAAACGGGGAAAAGCTTTTTTAAAATAAACATGTATAAATATATAAAGCATCCCCCGGTCTTCCCCCAAACAAAATTTATCCCGTTTTCAGGCTTAAACCAGACAATAAAGCTTTAAAGTTTTAAAAAAAATCTAATATCAAGTAATAAAGCCAATCTTTGGTGCGCTACATCTTCGAGGCGACAAAAAGGGAGTCCGATTGGGAGCATTATGACAAAGTATCTACCATTGATTGTAATGTTTAGTGTTTGAAATTATTTTTGAATTACCGTATTTCAAATGAATCATTACACATTTACTTTAAAAATTGACCAAATTTAATACGTATTGTAAATTGACAGTTTTATACAAATAATTTCAAACTGTTTATTAGTAAGCATTTACTAATAGAATTGAACTGGTTGAACGACTGCGCCGTAAATTCTGTATCATAGTCCTATTTTCCCATCATTTCGAAAGATATCTTTTTTTACGAAAATGCTCTAGCATTTGAAGAATGAAACTGATTGTTTTTTATCATATGTATCAATGTAGAAACTATGTATTTTTTCAGTCATTTTGTAGACTGAAGCACGCTGACCTTGTAACCATTGAGACTCACATAGAGAGCACATTCTTAAAATTCTTCGCAAGGAAATTATTTAAACAAGGTAATAATCTCCTAATGTTCCTGTTCTTAGTTTGTTGTTTGTTGTTGTTGTTTTTTGCTGTTGTTTTCTCTTTATATGATTTTTCAAGCGTTTTAAGCAGATTGTGTTTTTTTAGAATCGTAGGGTTTTTAATGCGGCGGATGGAGTGTAAGGTCTGACTAATAAACTGTTCTACAACAGAAATATTTAAATATTTATAAGAGGCTTTGATGTAACAAACAAACCTCACTTTAATTGCATGATTGTAATCACCGCTTTTCAACGTTTCTTGGTGACGTTTAATTCAAAACATGTCTAACCATGAAAAAAAAAAGACATTGGTCGTTAAAGGGAATTTGTCTATAATTGAAAATATGTAATTCAATGAAATATTACTTTGCTAGCAAGTGTTATATACATGGTCCGATATGATATTTATTAGTGTTTGTAAAGCAGGTAATGAATTTTTCTATAACAAAATACTTTTATTATTCTTATAAATGTTAATACAAAATACCTTTAAAATTGTTTTTGTTGTTGTTTAAAAAAAAACTATAATAATATCTAATGATATATTCCTATTGATTCTTTTGATATTTGGAAAACTTATGGAAAATACGCCAATTAAAGACCAATGTTCTTTAACGGGTTTAAGCGGATATAAATAATACTATGCTCGACGTCGGTGGTTCTACTCAGGTGCGTGCCTGAAATAATGCAGGGGAGGGCACCTGAGGTCTTCCTCAACCAGTAAAGCTGGAACGTCGCCATATGACCTATACTGTGTCGGTGCGACGTTAAACCCAAAACAAACAAACTATGGTTTTCGATTTTTCATTTCAAGATTCTGGTCGGAGAAATATCACGGCGTTTTGGCTTGGTGCGAGTGACACAGATATTGACGGAATATGGAAATGGGTGGCAACAGATGAAGAATTATCCTTCAGTGAATGGGATGTAAGGTCTGTCATGCAATATTACTGCGGTTATATATATTATTGTGTCCTTTTCGTTCATTATAAGACGTTGAAACTAACGTAACAGTAATAGGCCTTGCTTGAAAAGGCATTAGCAGACATAGAATATAACTGACTAGGCATTAGTATACATGAATATAACTGACTAGGCATTAGCAGACATAGAATATAACTGACTAGGCATTAGTATACATGAATATAACTGACTAGGCATTAGCAGACATAGAATATAACTGACTAGGCATTAGCAGACATAGAATATAACTGACTAGGCATTAGCAGACATAGAATATAACTGACTAGGCATTAGCAGACATAGACTATAACTGACTAGGCATTAGCAGACATAGAATATAACTGACTAGGCATTAGTATACATAGAATATAACTGACTAGGCATTAGCAGACATAGAATATAACTGTCTAGGCATTAGCAGACATAGAATATAACTGACTAGGCATTAGCAGACATAGAATATAACTGACTAGGCATTAGTATACATTTAATCCGACTTATCAGACATTCGTTGACCTTGAACACTTAATATACCACTGATCAGAATTCATGCACCCATCCATCCATCCATCCATCCATCCATCCATTCATTCATTCATTCATTCATTCATTCATTCATTCATTCATTCATTCATTCATTCATTCATTCATTCATTTATATATTTTACTTATCTTTTTATTTTTTTTATTTATTTAGTATGTCCATTTCAGCCAACCGAATAATAAACCTGATAACAACGAAGATTGTCTAGCTTTAAATGGTGCATACGATTTCAACTGGCATGACGGTTTATGTAGCAAAAGGGTTGGTTACCCTCTTTGCGAGAGAAAGTAGGTTTTGTATTGCTTCCTTTCCAGTTGAATTATCTGGTAAAATGATATATGATCTATGTCTTGAAAATATTGTAATTGACAAACTAATTTCCTAGCATATCACATATATTTTTTTTCAAAATGAGACTACATACTATGATAGACGGTCATGTTTTCCCCTGATATTATAAACAAAACACTTATATATTGATGTCATTATTTTGTTAAAGGGGAACCAGTGACAACAGTGGCGTTGGCATGCAGGTCATAGGTTAAAGCCCACGTGTGTCACGTGTGTCTTGTACTCGTAATACCTCGAAAGTTAATAAAAAAATAAACGATTCAATATGTGAAACATGTCTATCTTTTTTCTTCCATAAACTAATCCATGGTGTTTCTTGATCATGCTTCTTTGTCCATATTGTTCATTTTGAAGTATTTTATGTTTACGTATATACTTTTTAATACAAGCTGCAATGGTGAAGATATGAATATGCTTGTATTTATGTAACTTTTCTTTAACATCCCCTGTTTTTTACAGTTTCTACTTGATGAATAAATAACGTGCTCAAATTTTGCACAGCTTCACTGAATTGCATACGTTGACTTTATATATCCAAGTCTACATTTCTACAATTACTGCCATTTACCAAACAATGATGTTTTAATACCCTGCTTGAAGTACGGTGTTCCGTTAACGCCATCGCGGCGCACACATAACTCGAGACAACGAAACCAAATTACGATGGTTAAAAAGTCCATACAACGAAACTACGACTTTTCATCATTTCACAATCATGATTTGAGCCGCGTCATGACAAAACCAACATAGTGCGTTTGCGATATCAGGATCCATGCTGTTCACTTTCAGTTTCACTACTGGTAATCGAGTTAGTAAGCGAACAGCGTGGAACCTGATCAGACTGCACGGATGCGCAGACTGGTCTGGATCCATGCTAGTCGCAAACGCGCGGAGGCTGGTCTGGATCCATGCTGGTCGCAAATTAACGCATTACGTTGGTTTTGTCGTGACGCGGCTCATTTCGAGTTTTCGCCATCGTAAATTCGATTTATCTTAGATTCGGGTTATTTTTTGTGTCGTGATGGCCCTAACGGCACACTGTATTATAGCGTTACTGCTTTAATTGCAATCGGATTCAAAGTGTCGGTAAAATTTATTGCAATTCTAAAACTTTAATCATCATTTTCCGTGTGAAATAAAAAGCAGACCAGTATACTCAAGCATACTCGTACGCTTACACGCACACATAAACACGAACACATACACACGCACACACAGACACTCACACGATCAACTTCATAAAGTTGTGGGCGTTTCCAGTTTTGTAGCAGTGAAAAATATCGCCCTGTCTCTCCATTCCTAGCCATGTCCACGCCTTCTAACAAATCCGTATGTTCTTCCGTGTCAACCAGGTCAAATATCCCAGGGTGACAATTTTATAGCCAGTCAAAAAATCTACATAAATCTTTATGCACTGAAAAAGTCCGCTTTATTCTTTATGGCGGAATTGACCGAATATTTACGAACTCATAATACACTAAATAAAAAACAACTATAAACAACTAATTATATTCCTTTATTATTACTATTGACTGCATTTAGAACTACAATAGAAGAAATATTTTATAAGATATATTTTAGAAAGAAAGATAAAAAAGGAGTAAAAACACATACAATATAAAACGCAGTAATTGAGTCAACTTTCCAGTTCCTGCAACTTATATTTTTCATCCACTTCTAGCTGAAAAAATTATCTGATTTGTTTATAACCTAAAAAATGCTTTTTTTTCTTTTCCTTTAAAATATATTGAATACAAAACATTTACAAAACAATAAATGTACTTTTATATACAACTGCTCTTTTGTTTTGGTTTTTTTTCTATTTGCCAGACATATTGAAGAACATGTAATATATCCTGTTATTAACTAACTAGTAGTAACCTTTGTTCTGTATGCCCGTCATGGAATCAGTTGATGATTCATGTGGTTCGGCTCCGCCCAGTTTCACCGCCAAGAACACAGCGGCTAACAGTACAGCGAACAACAATGTTGACAACACCTGAAAAACATGTAACACATTCTGTTTAGTTTATACAAATTTATTTTAGTTCGATTGTGTTGGAAGCTATAAGCTTATTGAAACACTATCGATTCCTTTTCTGGAACCAACCAGTACTTAGCAATGAATGTAAAGTTTCCTGCTCAAGGGAACAACGGCTTGTCTTTGACAGGCTTTGAACCCACGTGATCAGCAATCCTAATTTTAGATTACTAGTCCGACGCGTTAACCACTCGACCACGACGCCACTCACATAGTCTGTTAGTCTGGAGTTCCTTCCCCTTTCGCTACGATACTTGTTAGATGCCGGGAACCAGAATAATAGTATGTTTATAACCGTTTAAAGTTCTGCACGTTTGTAACGAAGTTTTTAATTGGATAATCTTGACGTTCATATTACAATGTATATAAAGATTTTTGACAGGTTATATGGCCGTATGTAAACGGTTGTTTGTTTATATTACCGTACTCGTGTATATAAAACTTTATAATGCTGCATGTTTGTAACGTTGCTTTTCATTGGATAATCTTGACGTTTATTTAGTTTATAAACCCAGTTGTTGTCAATTTTTGAAGAAATTTCTTTTTCTTCTCTAATAAAGGAAGTTTGCTATATTATAAATTCGTTATAAAGATTCCTGCAGGTTATATGACCATATACTAACGATTGTTTGCAATAAGCTCTGGTTTAACGTTCATGTGTGTCAAGTATTTTAATAGTTTGATCACTTCTGACATGGTTTGACATTTAAATTTTTGACAATTTCATTGAAATGTAGTTCTGATAAAAAAAATGAAAAAAAACTTACTGAAGTAATTCCAATAAAAGCCGTTTTCTCGAAACAACCGTCAAATCCACTGCTAGTGCTATTGTTATCCATTCCTGAAAAATTGTGTCGATGGTTTTTAGCAACTACTACATGTATACATACTCAACAATAACACACAGCTGATTGACAGGGTGATTTAGAGCAGATAGTTTTGTTAATATTGACTAAATTTTTTTTCTCAAATCTAGTTCACTTTCACAGACCTTACAGTCCTATTATATTGCTGATGCATTAGAGGAAAAGAGCACAAGTAGTTCAAAATTTCCTTTTTGGTTTTCTCAAAATTGAGCTGTTTGAGTATATGAGACTCAGTGTGGTCGTCCTTATAATCCATTAGTCGCTACACAAAAGGATGCCTTTCCTTTGGTCAACTGTAGTACGGGTCTCCGCAAAATTTCATGCAAAAATTCCATCTTGTTAACCCTACCTTGCTACTAAGTGATCAGCTTTTGTCGCCAGTATACTAGTATAGGCAGATAAGTATGCAAGGCACGTCCATGCAATCTGACCGGGCGCAATAGTCTTTCTTATTTTGATGACGGAAAGTTTCAAAATTTGGATGTTTGGCTGTCCATTCAAGAAATACAGCAAGTTATGGGTTAGGTGATGTTAAGAATGTATTACGTTTAAAACTTTGATATCTTTGTAACATAAACTTACCTGGCGTAATGATATCTTGGTAATATTAACTTCCCTGGCGTAATGATATCTTGGTAATATAAACTTACCTGGCATAATGATATCTTGGTAATATAAACTTACCTGGCGTAATGATATCTTGGTAATATAAACTTACCTGGCATAATGATATCTTGGTAATATAAACTTACCTGGCGTAAAGATATCCTGGTAATATAAACTTACCTGGCATAATGATATCTTGGTAATATAAACTTACCTGGCATAATGATATCTTGGTAATATAAACTTACCTGGCGTAATGATATCTTTGTAACATAAACTTACCTGGCGTAATGATATCTTGGTAATATAAACTTACCTGGCATAATGATATCTTGGTAATATAAACTTACCTGGCATAATAATATCCTGGTAATATAATCTTACCTGGCATAATGATATCTTGGTAATATAAACTTACCTGGCATAATGATATCTTGGTAATATAATCTTACCTGGCGTAATGATATCTTGGTAATATAAACTTACCTGGCATAATGATATCCTGGTAATATAAACTTACCTGGCGTAATGATATCTTGGTAATATAAGCTTACCTGGCATAATGATATCTTGGTAATATAAACTTACCTGGCATAATGATATCTTGGTAATATAACTTACCTGGCGTAATGATATCTTGGTAATATAAACTTACCTGGCATAATGATATCTTGGTAATATAACTTACCTGGCATAATGATATCTTGGTAATATAATCTTACCTGGCGTAATGATATCTTGATAATATAAACTTACCTGGCATAATGATATCTTGGTAATATAACTTACCTGGCGTAATGATATCTTGGTAATATAAACTTACCTGGCATAATGATATCTTGGTAATATAAACTTACCTGGCATAATGATATCTTGATTATATAAACTTACCTGGCATAATGATATCTTGGTAATATAAACTTACCTGGCATAATGATATCTTGGTAATATAAACTTACCTGGCATAATGATATCTTGGTAATATAAACTTACCTGGCATAATGATATCTTGATTATATAAACTTACCTGGCATAATGATATCTTGGTAATAGAAACTTACCTGGCATAATGATATCAACTCTCACTGAAACTTCTGATGGTAAACCTTCACCAACCTCAACAGTCTCACGTCGGCGTCTTTTACGGGTAGTGGGGCATGTTGGGTACGGATTAGAGCCGCCAGCCTGATTTCCCTTTAATAGCAAAATTGTTTAAATTCAGTGGGCAACATATACCAGTCTTGTTTCAGGCAAACACATAATAGTAAAACTTCTAATTGGCTTATATCAGTCTATTTAACATATAATTGCCTTTAACCAGCATTGGCTTTGAAACATATATGATTGTCTTATATCAGTATCGGCTTTGAAACATAATTATAATTGTCTTACATCAGTATCGACTTAAAAACATATGTTTGTCTTATATAAGTATCGGCTTTAAAACATATGTTTGTCTTATATAAGTATCGGCTTTAAAACATTAAATTGTATTATATTAGTATCGGCTTTGGAACATATAATAGTCTTATACCAGTACCAGCTTTGAAACATATATTTGCATGGATTTGACTGAGAATTCTTCTTATTCATTAAAATAAGAATAACTTGTACAGAAAAACTGTTTTAAATTCTAACATACTTTGTTAATTAATTGTTTAATTGTTCCGATTTCAAACGCCTTACAAAATAATGCCTAACATAGGCTTTAAAGAAACATCACTGAACGCTGACCTGCCATTGATTGATTGTCTGATATTTATTCAAAGTCCGGTTGCCTATGTGTGGTAGGTAGTAAGGTTAGTAATCTTAACACATGACTGGCAGGAACTTGTAAACAGTCTATCACATGAATCAAATTACAAAAAACACCCGCTGTATTATCTAATTATGTCATTATTAAATCTTAAATTGACATATAAGCATAAAGATTATCTTAACTTACGAAACATTTTTCATCTGTATTGGTGAAACAGTAATCAAGCTTGCATTTATATATGGTGGTCACTACATCATTAGCTTTCAATCTGGCCATCGAAACAAGTGGAAACGTTACGCTCCTGTAAATGTTATAATGATATCCATTAATACCTCAAATAAACTTTTAATCGTAGGACAGTTTATATTATTAAACGCCTCACTGTTTTTGTAATGCTAATTTCCAATAAGGCAATGAGAGTTATTCATACTGTTAATTCAAGTGTACCATGCGACTAAAAAAATTGAACTATTATACGATCTATATACCAAACAGATCATTCATTATCTATAGAATTTCTTCATTTCTTTGTCCTCATGCGTCTGTTTCTTCTACAATTAACTATATACCAACACAATTTATGTTGTGTGCCATTTTATAGAACTATAGAAACATACCAGCTGATATATACGTTTAAAAATAGACAGCAAATACAGTAGAAGATGGTTCATATTATTAAACCAACTTGCTAAATTGAAGAACAATAAAATTATATTGTCCAGATTTATTTTAACCAGAATATTTTTGGTTTGTTTGGTTATATGTCACAGAGACAGCGTAAAGGTCATAAGTGGACGTTACGCCTTTAATTCTGGAGAGAGACCTCAGGTGTCCCTCCCTTGTAGGCTCGTAGAACCAACAACGATACGTAAGCTGACTGGAGAGCTTTGTCATATAATTCAAAGTCTCTGTGGCGGTTTGAGTGCACAGAAGTGATATGAAGTGAGTTACCTTCACCAGTAACCTATGACGATACAGTGTCACACAATTATTTGACACTTTTCATATGCATATGCTTATTTTTTATTAACATTGGAAATTATGCATGCGTATATTTTACTGACTTACTTGGCGCAATTTGGAGACATCAAGTGGCTTTTGGTTTCAGTTCCTTTCAGCCATTTAAATATATAATCACTTTTACCAAAAAACTCTTTCAGACCCTTATCTGTGTCTCCCGCTCCGCCGCACCTGTTAATATAAGGATTTAACTAACTAAAGTGTTCGAACAGTACATCTAGACGCTTGCAGAAATCATGATCACAATTAAACATCCAAAAGAGCATTTCGCGTGGTAGGAGATATTTTAAGCATTCAATCATTCAAGCGCATCGTCCGGTATGTACCGGAATACGGTAATTAGTGTGGCCCAACACTTTTGTTTTTCAGCTACAGTCTCACTTACATCCCGGCAGAGCCCCGGTAGACGTCCGGGGTGATCCGGGAACGACCGGGGTACGACCGGGAACAACCGGAGTACATCCGTAACTCTGCCAGCAACGTCCGGGATGATCTGGGATGATCCGGGAACATCCGGCATTCGACCCCGGATGGAATAAAATATTTAATATCCACGGGGTGGTCCGGGATGACCCGGGAAGGTATAGCTTTGTCGGCTTCATCCTTAGCTCTGCCGGGAACGACCGGGGTTATACCGGGGAAGCACCGTAGCTCTGCCGGCACAAACCGGGGATGATCCGGGGTATGATAAAGCCGGAAGAGCTACGGTAAAGTCCCGGTAGATGCCGGCAGAGCCCCGGTAACTACAGGCAGAGCCCGGAGGATAAAGGTAGAGCTACGGTTGATCCCGATAGAGCCCCGGCAAAGCCCGGTTCATTTCAAAAGAATAACGACAATTTGCGATCATTGGTCTTGTTTGTATAAAAAAAAAACCTTCCCATTTCCCATCTATCCAGTCTGGCATAAGGATTTTTCAGAAAATCATCATGAATTACTATTCTGGATCAATAGATATTATATTAAATTAAAATTATGTATCAATGTTATCATTTTCGGGCGTTTTCGATCCACCGAGGTTCTACTGGGGCTCTGCCTGGATCGTCCTGGGCCCTGCCTGGGTGAACTGGGGCTCTTCCGGCGTCATCCAGGAACGACCGGGGAAGCACCGGCATGAACCGTAGCTTCACCTTGGGTCTGCCTGGATGATCCGGAGCGCATCCCTGAGTGGTTAGTTGGGAACTACCGTAGTGCTGCCGGGTTAAGTGTGACCACAGCTTTAAAGATCCTGTTTGTTGTGATCAAAGTGGTAAACCGCACTAAGTGAAATTATATATATGTACATAATTATGCAAATAAAACAATTTTCAAACATCGAAGAATATGTTAAATATGTACTGCAAATATTTGTGCATATTATATGTAATCATTAAAATATATGCATTCATTTCGTATTGGAAAAATTTGACTTAAACTTTATAGAAAATTAATTTTTTATTACCTCCCTTTATTTACAGGAAAAGTTAAATTCAGTAATATCTTTATAAAAAATGCTTTTTTGGACCTACAATATCGATTAATCTTAATTTGAGCATCATATTCATGTTTTAAAATCATAAGAAAATTGTGTTACAGGATCTTTTATATGACAATAAATAAATGACTAGTTAAGCACTCATCCCTGTGATCGGGAACATTCGCATTTGTTTGTTTTGGTTTCATTTTTTCTCGGAACTAACTCATAACGGATAAGAACCTTAGAACAAAATATGTATAGAAAGTAAGAAGTCAATTAATTCCTACAAAGATGACCGTACTGTATGCAAATGATTGCGATATTTTTTTTTGTTCAAACAGTGACGCATACAAACAAAACATCAAGAAGTGGCGCGATTAACTGGTAGCGTCATTATATAAACTTCTATATCAATCAAAAAACGAGATATAAGTAACCAATAAGAAAGCTTGTTAAATATAAGGCCAGAAGAAAATACTAAAGAATACTGAGCTGGGAAGCTGTCGTCAATAATTATTAAATATTTTAAAATATTTAAAATAATCCAATTATATACAATGCTACTGTCTCCCTCTACAGCGAATATGTCGCAAGATGTCGCGGTGTCTCAGTCCATGTATTCGAGATTTTTTTCAACACAACACAACTTAAGATGTAAGAATTCTATAATAACAAAATATGTTTACAACAAGCACAATAATCACTAGCAAATATCAGTTTTCATATAAAATAAATTTTGTACCTTCCTGATATAAAGACTATTCATTTTTATATTTTCATCTGAAGAAACTATGTGAGCCGTACGTGTCACGACAAAACCAACATAATGGTTTTGCGACCAGCATGGATCCAGGCCAGCCTGCGCATCCGCGCAGCTTGATCAGGATCTATGCTGTTCGCTTACCATTCCTATAACAAGAAGAGAAACTGATAGCGAACAACATGGATCCGCGGATGCGCAGGCTGGTCTGGATCCATGCTGTTCGCAAACCCATTATGTTGGTTTTGTCATGACGCGGCTCATATGTAAATAAGCTACCATGTTGAATAAATTTATATACCCGTCAGCTAAGACTATTGTTGGCCACGTGGTCATACCCTCTATGTCGGTTTGAAAATCGTCATTAGCAATATCAGCAGCCGCTGTGCACGTGTGAGGTCTGACTGCTATGGGAGTTATACCGTCCACTGAAAACAAAATCAATCCACATACTGACAATAAAGTAGAAACCGTCAGAGTATCCAGGTCAGATTGACAGCCGCATTGTATATTAAAACTCCTAGCAACTTTGATGAATAGGCATCGTCGGAACCCACGGTACACATTCCGTATACCGGTGTGTAGTAAATAGCATGGGTTACCGAGGATGACGTAAAGGTTATCAAAATGGATTTTCTTTCTTTTTTTTTTTTTGTCGCATGCGCAAAATGGTAGGTTTTACTTGTAATGTAGAATATCTATTTAATACAAGAGGGTCATGATGGCCTTTAATCGCTCACCAGAGACCATGGTCTATACGGACAAGATTAAGTACTTTTGCATGCCTATTAACCCCGTTTAATCAAAAACTTTATAAGGTAGAGGAAATGTCTTCAATCTTTTTTTTCTGTATTAAGCGTGAAACCATTATAGCAAATTTTGAAAAGGACCACCGAAGTTTCATTCATGCACAGGTCCATTACTTTATCTGAATCAGCCTGGAAGAGGAGCATTCAAAACAGCTTAAATATTTGGCCGCAACCTTGTTCAGCAAGTGTTTAAGCAATTTTCGTTAATTACCGCCAAATGACCATATATAGGAACACATATTTCAGTCTTATTGCGTGACCAAAAAAAAAATCCCAAAGCTAAAATATTTGTATTATAGCATAACATAATAGATTTCTACAAAAGTTAAGTTAATCACCACTATATGTTTGTGGAGACTAAATGTTTTACAAACCTATCTTTATAATATCTTGCTCTAAAAATTGCAAACACCAGACACATGTGTACATATTTGACATGTTACATCAATGTGTAGTATTCTACTAAAGTAATACTTATTCTGATACCACGGACAAAATGGACACTGTCCTTTTTCACTTGCTTTATATAGACTTAATATGTACAAAAATACACAACAACTATTCATAGCTAATATATCGCATACAGCACTGCTTAAGATACATTATGCAAATTATACAAGAGTACATAGTGTGGAAAGTCAAAATACAAAGTAAGTTTAAATTTTGCCATAATTTCTTACATTTTTCATAATTTACTTTATTGAACGCCAAATAACTTATGTGGCCAAATGAAATTTCTGTACGAATAACCATCGGAATTTTCCTAAAACGTTCAAGTTTATTAACAAGTGTGGGGCAGTTTAGTTTATATTTTAAGGGTATTTAGATTTTTTCTAAACATTTTCTAATATCAATTGTTGGTCATTCACCATCATCACAGAAATTCTTTTTCAAATACATTAGTCAATTCAGCTCAACTTGACAATGAAAACCATGAGCAAGATGTCACTTAAGTAAACCTATGCAAAGGTTTTATGAATCATGGTCATAGGGTCATATTATAACATTATTCAATATCATAAGGGTAAAAAAGAAAATCATTTTTTAAAATATATTTCACAAATGGGGTCTGTTACTAGTACTTTATTGAAAGACTTTTTAAATTTCCTTCGAGCATACATCGCCCGATTTTGCAGCACTCTTGTTATGTGATTAAGTGAAGAGCGGCTTATTTTAATGTATATTAGTGTCAAGCTTTATTTGTCATCCAATGAAAACGCTGTATTTCTTAAAAATTATGTGTGTTAATTTTCATAGAAGAAAAAAAGTCGATACTATATTGAAATTCGTTCATAGTCGCCTTCTATTTTTCATAGTGCTTCGTAGTACTGCGTAGTGACGTAATCAACGGCCAAATAAAGCTTGACACTAAATATGTTAGTGTTAATCCTTATCGTCGCTATCGCTCCCGTCGAATTTTCTAATTTCTGTAGAACAGCACGGATGAACACTAACATATACATAGTACATAAAGTGTTCCTTAGAGTAAAATCATTATTCATTCCGTATTTAATGAAACCGCATTGACTTCTGATTATTCAAACTAATGGCTTAATTGCACACACACACGCGCGCGCGCATGCACGCACGCACGCACATAAAATAAAAAAGCAAAACAAAACAATAGATTTTTCCCAAGAAACATATGTATGCGTTACGTAATCAGGAATATTTACGTCATAATTACTTAACAACACGCCGCTCGTGCATGAAATAATGCACGGAAGGACACCTGAGGTCTTCCTCCACCAGTAAAACTGGAACGTCGCCATATGACATATAATGTGTCGGTGTGACGTAAAACCCAATAAAAACACTTAACAACACAATCTTTTTTTTTTGGGTCCCAAGAAATTAAAAATGTTACGTGATTTTTTGCACCGTGTATAGTATCACCTTGTTTAAAGGAATATGTTGGGTTGGTGTAATTAAGAGTGTAAGTAAACAAACTTACCAAAAAATTGATTATAACCAGCCGTATTTGGTGGAATTTTTAAACAAAATTCGAGATATGCCGACGTGCCTAGAGCAACGGGGACCTTAATTTCGTTGCCAGATGCACTCTCCTGTGTAGTGATTGATGTTCCAATATCAGGGTGTTTGTAGACTTTCATGGAGACTTCTAAATTATACTTCACATCAATTTTTGGCGGACCACTGTAACGAATCATTATAACATATATGAGCCGCGTCATGACAAAACCAACATAGTGGGTTTGCGACCAGCATGGATCCAAACCAGCCTGCGCACCCGCGCAGTCTGATCAGGATCCATGCTGTTCGCTTACAAACCCTATAGCAAGTAGAGAAACTGATGGCGAACAGCATGGATCCTGATCGGACTGCGGCTCAATTATGTCCCTTCTATAAATCTTACGCAACAGGCTAATACATTACGTAATAAACAATTGTAAGATGGAGGAAATATTTAGTTACATTCTAGCAGTTCTTCAATGTAACATAACATATATTCACGAAACAAATACGAAGTTTTAAAGGTTGCATATTTTCTAGTACGATGTCAAAGTTAAACTAGATTGGTAATAATTAAACGCTTACAAAAAGAAATACCCCGGATCCCGGAAAATGTAAGTATATATTTTCCGGAAAACGGCCGTCTAACATCAGTTTGACTTCCTGTTAAATTAACAGGGAAGAATTTAATATATATAAAGAATTATCATTGGTCATCATAAAATTACAAACTGAAATCGTCTTGGTTATTATAAAATAAAATGTAACGGCTGGTTCTTGCCATTCTAAAATAGAATTTGAAGATAATTCTAAAATAAAATCTTAATTTAAGGATAGTTTTGGTTTAAACATATTTTATTTAGAATATTTGTACATGTGTAAATAACAACATAACAATAATTATAGATTTTGGCCGAAAGCAGAAGCAGAAGGATAGTTCTTGTCATACGTTCATGCTAAATGTTTCGAAAACTTAGATATAACATCTGCATATTAACCAGTTTTACTTCGGCCGAGTATCAATTTTAAAGATACTACTTATTGTTTCATCTAATCTTTAGTAAGTGAGTTAACTGTAAACGGTAATGCACCGTGAAAATATAACGGTAAAAGTCTGTTTGTAACTGCGGTTAAGATGGAAAAAAACCTACATTTTCTACTATTCAACTATTTTGAAATTATAATACAATCAAACTTTTCTGCCACAAAAGATACAATTGTTGTGTGTCATAGACATTTCAAGAGAAAATGTAACGAAATTTTTAATCCGGCAGCTATTACATATGTTGGCTGATTTGGAACGCTTTTGTGCGTCGTGTAGGCGTCAGCGACAACAGGACAAAGCGCCAAACGGCGCGTTGTCGGACTTTTGTCTTGTCGTTCTGTCGCTAACGATATACGCCAAACGGCATGTTGTCGTGCGACGTGTTGTCGCGATGTCACATTGTCGCTCGGATTAAATCGAAGGCTTGGCTTATAAGCCAAGCCAAGTCTTCGATTTAATCCGAGCCAAGCGACAGAGCGACATCGCGACAACGCACCACACGACAACGCGCCATGTGGCCTGCTTCGCTAGAGACGGGACGACAGAGCAACAACTCGCCGTTTGGCGCTTTGTCCTGTTGTAGCTAGCGACAAGACAAAAAGGCGATAACGATATTGATTGCTTTGTCGCTCCCGACAACGCAACGCGCAATGTACCAAATCAGCCACCATAATTATAGCCCGTAGCTACCTAGAATAATTCCCTACACGACGAGAATAGGAAATAATTAATGCCTTATCTCGTAAAAAAATGTTTGTTTACAGGTATGAACTACCTTTAATGGATAAGAAAAAATATACTTCTGTTATTTAAAACCACATCTAGATTTTCCAAAGAAAGGAGAAATGTTTCGCTTTGATACATTGGAGAAACTTACGCTACTGTTAGCTTGTCATACTCAATGGACGTCGCCGTGCAAGAAGTTGTATCATATTTTGCTTTGAACACTATGTCGAACGCTTTATCGAAACCTGCATCTCGTTTGCAGTAAGTCATCACTTCGATGTCATTGGTCTAAAACATAAATGAATTAATGATATCATACCTCTATAGGAACAAATTAATAAGTGATATCATTATTCTATAGCACAGATAAATTAGTGATATCATTATTTTATAGCACAGATAAATTAGTGATATCATTATTTTATAGCACAGATAAATAAGTGATATCATTTTTCTATAACACAAATGATTTGTTGATGTCATTTTTCTGTGACACAAATAAATTAACGATATCTTTATTCTAGAGCACAAATTAATTAGTGATATCATTTTTCTATAACACAAATGATTTGTTTATGTCATTTTTCTGTGACACAAACAAATTAATGATATCTTAATTTTATAGCAAAGATAAATTAGCGATATCATTTTTCTATATCACAAATGATTTGTTGATGTCATTTTTCTAATAAATTAATGATATCTTTATTTTATAGCACAGATAAATCAGTGATATTAATTTTCTATAACACAAATGATTTGTGGATGTCAATGTTTCTGTGTCAGAAATAAATTAATGATATCATATTTCTGTGTCAGAAATAAATTAATGATATCATATTTCTGTGTCAGAAATAAATTAGTGATATCATATTTCTGTGTCAGAAATAAATTAATGATAACATATTTCTGTGTCAGAAATAAATTAGTGATATCATTATTTTATTACACAGATGCATAAATAGTATGATAAGCCAACAGACTGGGGAAGTCAATAATTAAGTATGTACCTCGACAATACTTTCACCTTACTGTGACATCGCATAGCTATAGCCTCATTTCGATATATCAAACTGGAAATGAATATCTCCCCAGGGGCGAGTAATCTATGTTGACTTAAGAAAACGTTATGTTCTATAGTTCTCTCCCCTGATAAAAATCAAAATTGGCTGTCATAGCCTATTTAAGTTCTCGTGTTGCTAATATGCACTCACAGGAGATGTTATTTCAGTTCAAGTGTTGCTTATTTCTTATATGCACTTTTACCATGAGAGACATGTGTAATTTCTATATTATTTCTTTAGAATATTTCTATTTCAACTTACGTCTTTCCGGGAGCCACATTTGTACTGTGATCCCACTGAAGGGTCTGGAACCGTGAGAGTGTGCTTCTTCGTTCTGACGTCGTATAGCGTAGACGTAGAAGTTGCGTCTGGAGTAGTAATCGCAGAGTACTCTACCGTGTTTTCACAATTAGCATCGGCAGTTGCCTTCCGAATAGTTTTATCATTATTATAGTCAGTTGCATCGATAAAATGGCAGGTGTCGTATCTGGAAAATTATATTTGCAAATTTCTTATCAGTAACTTTTTATGATTTTTTTTCATAAGCGGTGAGAGGTTATGATGGACTGTTCTATAACAAGACAATACGTTGTAAACACGATAAAGAACAATTGTCCCAGTAAAAAAAAACACACGTTATCAATTTACATATTTAATTCCATTACTCAAGGCTTCAACCTTGGAATTATTTATAGACTGGTTTGATTTTGGGAAAATGTTCATCCTAACGGCATTTTTTAGTACAAGCAGGTAGTTGGGCTTACTTACCTATTTTGAGTACGCTGAATTCATTTTTTGCTCTACCAAGGCTGTATTTTTAGTCCTTGACCTTTAAAAATCAATTTCAAAATGGCTGCCACTGAATTTTTTAGTTTTACTTTAATTCTCCCATGGGCGAGATATATACACATTTTGTGGCATTTTAATTTAAGGCTTTGCTAATTTTAGTCTACTGAAGTGTGGACGAGAAGAATAGATGCAAAAACAATAAAATTTATTGCGGCAGCCATCTTGGATTTCAAAATGGCGGACAATTTCCTATGTTTATAAACTGTATTATAATTAAAGTAAACAAGCACAAGAAGGCATTTTACTAGGCATGTTTTCTTTTATTAGAAGTGCAGTGATACTAATTAAGACTTCCACGCGAAGACTTTGAAAAACATGCATTAAAACTACAAACTTAATGGTGTAAAAAAGTCATAATTTATACTCTAATACAGAGACATAGATAATGTTGTCTATGTCTCTGCCTAATACAACGTAAATGAGAGTCATATTTGCGTTCACTTTTGTCATTTAGAATGTTTTTTATATACTTCTAAGAATACAATGCATGTTCTTTAAATTATTGCGATGTTTTTTAAAACTATCGTCCTGAGGGGGGACCTGCTAAAATATCTGTCCGTCTGTCTATCTGTTCGAGCGTCCTCTTGTGTCGGTTAGGGGTATTTGCGATCACACTTTGGCTTTTAGATTAATGCCGTATACCCCCTGACCTATAGGATGAATCATTGATTATTGGAAAACAAAAGGCTGCTTTTGGAGTAAGAAACAAACAAGAAGATAACAGACATCTTCACAAATCTTCCAGTAAGAGCTTGTTCCCTGTCAGTCCGTTTGTCCGTTTTTTAATCCCGTCCATATCTGTCATTTTTGGATAGATTTTGAAATAAATTGCATTAATGTGTGGCACATTGATATGTACAATGTCATAAGAAAGACTCAGGTGTGAAGCTCAACTCCTCAAGTTAGACTTGAAAGTGCTTGAATAAAGATGTGCATTTTAGTATTCTGTCGTTTAGAGATGAATTTTGAAATAGTTAATCATAAATATACGGCCTATAACGGATTGGGAAATGATATACTTTATTTTATTACTTAATCTTCAAAAAAAATTGTTTGTTTATTGCTTATGTCAATGTCATTTGCCCAAGAACATGTACTGGGACGTGTCATGCTTGAGATCCAATTCAACAGTCCAAAGATCAGGGTCATGTCTATCAAGAAAGGCAATTTTGTAAAAGAATATTAAAAAGGTCTTAGTATTTTTAAAAGTAATATAGGAATCGCCATCCAGGCTAGCATTCGGAAAAAAAATTCATGAAATAGACTACTTTCCTGAATAATAGAGTTAAAGTTTCTTCTTGAAAGAGAAATATTCCATATGGTGTTTATTCCATAGAAGCCTCTACATACTACATGTAGTGCCGAGCTTCGTGCATGAGGATAGTATTTCATTTACTTATATGTAACCCGACAAGAACATGGTGATTGAGGCCCCTGTGTTAGGACTTTTTCGTCTATTTGGTTATCATGTGGTATTAAATTATCCGTTTTGATTGACCTAGAGCAGGCGGAGTTCGGGTAAAATTATTTGAATCTTGTTAATTGTATATGCCGCCGTCCTGGAACGACAATAACTTTGCGTAAATGTGTAATTTGAAAAGATCGTGTCATGCACAAGCAAGGTTATGTCTACAGTTAAACTTCTATATCATAAATCATGATATAAACGTAACAAGATGGTTGTGTCCGATCTATAACCTTCTCATTAATTGATGCCTTTTGAAGTAATTCATTAAAAATAAAAAAATGCATAAATATATGGCACATTGGGAAAATGAGTCACATGTAAAACCCAGCTGATGATGTAAATCAAAGACCAAAATCATACTTTCCCTTCGAACAAAATATTTCCTTAAAGTCTCTAAAAAGTCTGGTTAACGATTTTGTCATTCATGGATGAATTAAAAATCATTTTTGGATAAATATGGCTCCTCTTTATAAGACGACGTGTAGCGGACAAAAGTGTCAAGGTCAAACTTGTATTTCAAAAGTCATGATATGAGAGTGTATTTGTGGCCATGTCCAGTCCATATATGTGTTATAGAGCGGAAGCTTAGAATAAATACGTGGTACTTTGAAACAATTTGTCTTGAGTGAGAAAAGAATTATCGCATAAAGTAAGATTTTAAACATTAAAGGTCATATTTCATTTCATATAAACATTTTGAAGGTCATGTCCGGTCATCAATTCTGTCATTCAATAGATTGATATTGGCGTAACTAGGCATACATTTGTGGCACATTAGGACTACTTGTTATGCTTAAACACTAAGTTGATAGCCAGATAGGTCAATTTAGAACATTCATGGTTGTGTCTATATCTTTGTCATTTATTCATGGATGCTTTTTTAAAATAATAAGAAATACTGATGATATAAATAAATGCTTCTTAATGTTTCTAATGTTTGTAAAACTTGTAAGACTACAGTGACCATGCCTTCAATGTAAAAAATGGAAAAGAAGATTAACAAAGAAAAGGTGGCATTCAATAAACGCAGCCCCAACAAGACCCAGCAATAGTCCAAAAATAGATGGTACAAATTTTTAGTGACTAAAATTACATTAAGAAATACCAAAGTAATTTTATGGGGTGATAGTTGAAAAAAATATGCGATAAAATGATATCAAAAAATATGTTATATCATAATGGAATAACATACTCATGAATTTCTTGAAAGATAGCCAAGAACAAAATAAGTATGAAAATTTGAAATATATCTTAGTCACTTGAATGATTTTAAAAACATGAGATTGAATAAGGTGCAGCGTCCTTGACAAAGTGACATAATTATAATGTAGACGTTGATATTAACTAAGACAATGAATAATAAATACTAATGAATTAAAGACAGAAAACGCAAAAAAACTCGTATTTTTCAGTTAAGTAAATAAAATTTAAAAGACATAGGCTTCGACGGTTATATATTTTACATAATTTAGTAGCAAAAAACCCAAAATGCTCTATCAAGTCATTCTGTAATAAATAAAAAAGTGTAAACAGCAGTGAATCGTCAATATATTAATTGCAGAATTTGTATCAATTAACTGTCTAATCTTCTATGCATGTACTATCATTAAAATACCACCGCGGTAGACCCTATATAATGTTTTACTTTATATTATTCATTAACCGTAAGAACAGTGCAAGCTCGTAGACTGTTTATGGTTCATTGTTTGGCGAGACTTTTTTTTCAAGGTGAAAAGATAATAAAGATTAAAATGACTTTACCATTTATTTGAGTTTATTTCAATTTAATAAATAGATGATCTGTTTTTAACCATGTCTAGGCATGTTTAAAGTTTGATTGATAAATACGAAACCCTTTATAAAGTAGCTATATCAATAAACAATTAAAAGTATCATATAAACACATCTGAGGATGTTTCTAAATTCCAATCTCACAATTTCCCACTTTGATATATGAATTTTGCGTAGGCCGGTGCTAGGGTGCTTGGACGGTACTTTGTAATTTCCAGTAACGTCCATGTACAGGCTCAATCAAATCGAGCCTAAAACGTTTTCAATTTTGCCGGTTTTGATCGCTGTTTTGGGATTCTGTTGTTGTTGGGGTTTTTCTATTTGAAATCGGGTCGTACAAAAGATATTGTTGCAAAGACATGCGGGCTCAAAGACATAGTCGCTGACCTGTGAAGATGACAGGCAATTTTTAAAATATTTACATACTGACCTTGACTCTTGGCATTCAAATTATAAAATGATCTAGTGTCCATAAAAGGTTTACACAAATGCTATTCTATCAAAAATAAAGATTACTTAAACATCTAATGGTAAATTAAAATGTGCAGGTTTTATGTAAGACATTTTGGGTCTCAGATACCTGATATAGATTAATTGTCCAAAAAAGAATGACCTGTGATAGTTTGAAGTAATGATGTAAATTAAAGTGTGCAGTATATACCTACACAGGGTGTACAATTCGACATGACATGTTGCTCATATCATTATTTAATTTTTAATACTCAGTCCTACAGAAAGATCCATTTGTTTAAAAGCACTTTACTTATATTTATTAAAAAGGTGTCCATTTTGAAATCAAAGATGGCCGGCATGGCAGTCAATGTGTAAAGCATGTATAATTATCAGTCAATTATTCCTTAAAGTAATTGAAACTTTATTCCATGTAGATTAACGGAAATACGATACAATATGTACCAGAAAAAAAATATTTTTAAGTAGATGGTATAGGACAATGGCGGCCATTTTGATTTGACCTTTTGAAGGTCAAGGACTTAAAGTACAGCCGTGGTAGAGCAAAAAATGGATTCAGCGTACTCGAATTATGTAAAAACGATTGACTACCTGCTTGTACTAAAAAATGCCGTTAGACTCTTAACGGAGGGTCTTTTCTGAAAATCAAACCCGTCTATTACGTTATTTATCAAAAATTATCAATTCGTGTGTTCCATAATTGTTGCTGAGGCATAATATGCTTTCATCTTAAGGTTGTATTATTTTATAGAATATTCGTTATTGTCAATACTACCACGGTTGTTCTACTAATCCTTCAAAAATACAGACTGTATCTTTTTGAAATAGAGATATAGATATTCAATCGTTTGAATGTGAAATGCGCTCCATCAATGGCTCAATTTAAACTACTAAATGAGCCGCGTCACGACAAAACCAACATAATGGGTTTGCGAGCAGCATGGATCCAGACCAGCCTGCGCACCCGCACAGACTGATCAGATTGCGCTGATGTGCAGGCTGGTCTGGATCCATGCTGGTCGCAAACCCATTATGTTGGTTTTGTCGTGACGCGGCTCAAAAAAGGTCAAGGACGAAGTCTTACATTACTAATTGACCTTTCCTAAACGTATTAGCTGTAGATGTAAATTTGAATCCATCGTCCTTTTGATACACGAAAAATTCAAATTTCACCTCCGTACTACTTTTGTCTTCCTTGATACAGTTCATTCCAACTGAAAATAAATAATTTATTGAATTATATAGTCTAGATCTACTTATAAATGAAATATTCAGAAATATTGATGAAATAAAATGCATGTTTTCACTATAAAAAATGTTTTTCACTTCGGTGAAATATATTTTCCGTATTTTCACATATGTCATGCCGGACTACTTTTTTTGCTAAATTCAGTCAAAACACAAAATTAAAAGGGAATTCCTTTAAACAATAAGATTGAAAAAGAGAAAAGTATATAATAAATAGAAAATTCAAATGTTTTTTATTTTCATCTTGTGGTATGAAAATTATCATATTTCACGACGTATTCAGTTTGACATCTTTAAAGTATGACAAAATTAATTATATACTCACATATTATTTTCTCTGTCTGGAATAAAATCAAGTGTTTTATTAATAAAACGTATGTAATTATTTATAAACATTGAAACGATTTAATTCAACAACTAATAGTCTTTTGTATTTCTGTATTTTTTATATATATTTATATATAATGAAAGCGTTTAAATAACAGGATTTCTGCTGGCCCAGGTCGAACAGACGCTTACTTGGTCTTTATGCGTCACGGAATATGGCGACAATTGCCGATTTTTAACGATTCCAAAATAAATATTTCACATTGGTAAGTTAATTAACATTATTTATTTTATAGACTACTATTGCACTGATATTCACATTGTAGCTTCTGAGGAAATATATACATACATTTCTTTATTTTTTAGTCGAAGAAATATAAAATAAATTCAAATTCAAACAAGTCGCGCCATGGCAAAACCAACACAGTGCGTTTGCGACCAGCATGTATCCAGACCAGCCTGCTCATCCGCGCTGTAAAATCAGGATCTATTCTGTTCGCTTACAAACCCTATTACACTGTTACAAGTAGAGAAACTGATAGCGAACAGCATGGTTCGCAGATGCGCAGGCTGGTCTGGATCCATGCTGGTCGCAAACTATGTTGGTTTTGTCATAGTGCGGGTCAAATATTTATGGAAACACGTGAAAGTTCTAACTATTGAGAGTATAAATCTAACATAAACATAGATATAAAAGCTGAATTCCTCCAGATGAGAAATATATTTCAAGGAAACACACTTGGGAAAAATGTACTGAGATTTTATTAAAACATTAAAGATTCAAGTTATAATTAACATATAATGTGAATACATGTATAATGATTGATAAATAAGCATTTTCCTACTGCGTGATTGAACAGTAAGGACTATTTTTATTGCATATTTTGACTTTTTTCTCTTTCTTTGTTGTTGTTGTTGTCTTGTTTTGTTCTTGTGTGTGTGTTTTTTTGTTTTGTTTTTGTTTGTTTGTTTGTTTTTTTTTTTTTTTTTTTTTTTTTTTTTTTTGGGGGGGGGGGGGGGGTAATTAAAGTGCTGTAAACAATGTGTAAATTCACGTTTTTTTGTTCACTTCAAATTATTTTTGTTTTAAATACATTTTCAAAGTTTTCATGAAAATAAGCATAAGTCTGGAGGCAAGCTGCTTTAAGCATATTTTTTTCACTATATGAAAATAGTCGTCGAACGAGTTGTTCTAAAGTTCATACCAGTTCTATATTTCATTTTTCGGCAATATTGAGAAAATTCTAGTTGATGCCTGTCAATTTCACAGGTCATCTTTCTTTTCAATAAAAATTTTAAAATTCCTAAATCTGATTAGGTGAATAGGTGTGTCATTTGATAAAGAACAGAGTTCTTCACAAATTTGTACGCCAATCAGTTCAGAATGTCCCTTCAGCACACAATAGCTTGCCATTCAGTACGTACAGAATGGCTGCAGCGCTGAAAATCCTTCAGCACACAATAGCGTGTCATTCAGTACGTACAGAATGGCTGCAGCGCTGAATGTTCCTTCAGCATCCAATATATCGCGCCATTAAGTACAACATGGTTAAAACTAGATTCCTGGTTGGCTCGGATGTTATTGATTGGTGTAAAATTTAGGTACATTAATCATAAGGTAACTTACATCTGCCGTCCCCTCTAGGTGCTGATGACCATTAACCCCATCTGCTCCACCATCAACATTGTCGGCGATCTGTCCCCGTCCCACGTTGACCAAGGCACATAGAACGATACAGAAGATTGCTAGACGTTGATACGTCATCTAGAAATATTAAAATAATGACGAGTATTTATACGTCAGCTGGAAATATTAAAATGAGCCGCACCATGACAAAACCAACATAGTGGGTTTGCGACCAGCATGGATTCAGACCAGCCTGCGCATCCGCGCAGTCTGATCAGGATCCATGCTGTTCGTTATCAGTTTCTCTAATTGTTATAGGGTTTGTAAGCGAGCAGCATGGATCCTCATTAGACTGAGCGGATGCGCAGGCTGGTCTGGATGCATGCTTGTCGCAAACGCACTGGTTTTGTCATTTGGCAGCTCAAATAATGATGAGTATTTATACGGCATCTGGAAATATTAATTAAAATAATAATGATTGTTCATTAAAATCAAAACGATTTGTTTATATATAAAGGGTGTCTAAAATTCGTCATACACAGCATTTTTACTAGCACATTGTTTTAGTCCCAATATTGATATGCAAAACTTAAGGAGTACCCTTGTACCCTTCCAATATTTTGAGACTTAAAAAATCCCAAATGGACATATATAATTAAGTATTGAACCAACAAAGAAATCAGATAATTGCAGTAAAATGTGGGAGTTCAAATGAAAATTGTTTATCTTGTTAAAAACCAACATAGTGCGTTTGCGACCAGCATGGATCCAGACCAGCCTGCGCAGTCTGATCAGGATCCATGCTGTTCGCTTACAGACCCTATTACAAGTAGAGAATCTGATAGCGAATAGCACGGATCCTGATCAGACTGCGCGGATGCGCAGGCTGGTCTTGATCCATGCTGGTCGCAAACGCACTCTGTTGGTTTTGTCGTGACGCGGCTCATATATATATATAAATACCACAGTCCATGCGGTTTTGTAAAATAATTCAAGGTCCTCTTATGTAAATGTAAATAATGCAAATAGTACCGGAGAATTAGGATGTCCCTGCCGTAAGCCTAATAATATACAATGTATTTGACATTTCAGAGAATGTTTTACGCAAGATTTTACAACTGAATACATAACTTTGAATATATTTAAAGATCCTGTATGTTTTTTAATTGATAGTGTTACTATGTGTATATTACACTTACAAAAATTATATATGTATATAATTATGCAAATAAAACAATTTTCAAATATCAAAGAATATGTAAAATGTGTACTGCAAATATTTGTGCACATTATATGTAATCAATGCATTCATTTCTTATTGGAAAATTTGGCTAAGATTTCATAGAGTAGATGAATTTCTAATTACCTCCCTTACAACATCGACAAATCTTAATTTGAGCATCGTATTTATGAAATAAAGCCATGAAAATAATGTGTTACAGGATCTTTAAGATTTTACCATCGAATCACATCATAGATAATGTCAACTGTAACGCGTTTCTATACATTAAAAGTATGTCTTTTTCAAGATCAACAAAACTTTTATTTTCAGATAATATATGTTATACTAAATGATGTAAAACAACAAATGCATTTGCGATGCTTGAGCCCTTTTTTTAAACTGAACTGAGGGCATCTAGTGACATATTATCATCTTCAAACCTTGAAGTTTGAGTAAATTTATGCAAGTAAAAAATTACCAAATTACACTTATTTACATTTCTATTACCTCCCTTTTTATGCAAAGGGACAATAAAATCTTGCGTCCACAATGCTGCATAGAAATAGCCTGTGTTCAAAATGATATTAAATTAATCTGAAATAAGCCCTTCCAAAATATCAATAGTTTCAATTAAATTTTCAAATTGTCACTTGGCGATGCAGCATTGTTACGATTTAAATTACGAACACCCGCACGAACTTCATCACAGGTTATCGGCATATTTATGTCACCAAAAGTTATTGATATAAGTATTTCCGTCGTCAAAAATGTTTTAAACTCGGAAATGATTTTTGCTTTAATTTCATTGTACCATCCAAAAAATTATACTTTTCAATATCTTTAACAGATATACCTTCCCCGTTGTACAAAGCACATGATTAATTTAGTGAGTGTGCGAGATTGATCATCACTGATCATATCTTTGTTTCAAACATGATATCGCTAGAAATATTACCTGTTTCGCAATTACTTACAATCGCTGAAATAAGAACGATTGCTAAAATTGTGACAGTCACTAAAATGACGGTTATCTTTTTGTGGTGTCAGTTACATAACTTGTAACTATGTTATTTTTATATTAAAGAACTAGAAACTAGAAAATAATTAATTGCAATTAAAAAAAAATCAAATTTAATTGTAATTAATTAATAACAATGTGAAAATTCATGTAATTGTAATTGTAATGTAATTGGGAAGTTTCCAATTTACTTGTAATTAATAAGTTACTTTTAAAAATAATGGTACCCATCACTGTACTTCAACTTCATGAATTCCCGATTTCGTCTCCGTAAATTCACAATTTTAACTTCGTGAAGTTATGAATTTAACTTCACAATTTCGCGATTTCCATGACACAATTTCATGATTTACAACTACACGAATTCAAGATTTCAAGATATTGAATTAACAATTTTAACTTCACGAAGATGAAATCTGGAATTCGTGAAGTAGAAATGTCTTCACCGGTCTTTCGCATATGATTTATTAACGGATCATACTTTCTGCGAAATCAAATGATATCGCATGCTGTGCTGTACTTATCGCAAAATAATTTTATATATTGCAAAAAAAAATAAAAAAATAGCACGACAGTTTTTAAAAGTTTAACTTGTACACTTTAATGCAGAAATAAGTTTCAAAGTTTATGAATGATTTTTTATTATTATTTTTTAATTAAAACATTTTATTTAGAATAAGAAAATTACAGTTATGTTATAAAAGTAAAGAAAATATATATTTACGGTTTATTGTGCCAGAGAATCCACGGCGGTTTAAACTTGCAATGCCTATATGTTTGATAATATTTAAGATTAATTTAAATATGCAGCCACTCGTGAAATAACGTAAGTGAAGAAAAAAATTACAAACCGTAGCTATATTATAATCAAGGTAATGGGAAAAGCAGGGGCAGACTTGGCATTTTTAAAGATAGATTAATAAAATAGGTAGAGAGGATTTTGTCAATGCAATGAAAAAGAATGGATGTGTTAAATTGTAAACTTCGGGTGTTAAAATAAAGTCGCGTGTGATTTTCTTTATGCCATTCCCATGCTGCCGACATCATAGTTAAAATAGTGATTGATTGCAACGCACATTTTATATCCATACCTATATATAGAAATATATTCCATTAGCCCAATATAAACTTTTTTAAAAATTAAGACACAAAAGAATAAAAGCGATGCTTAGTTTCTATTTGACGACTGAGTAAAAGTGCTGGCTAAATGTTGAATACTTTCCTAATCACATGCTCAAATAGGAACGAACACTTCCGATTAAATTAGGGAATGTAAGTGGTTAGAGAATGTTTCCTGTCCAAGCATGTGATAATTTACAAAATATCAGTGGTTTTAGAAAGTGTCCGGTCCAAACCTGTGATAAGTGACAGAATGTCGGTGATTTAAGCAAGTACCTAGTCCGTGTCTGGAATAATTGACAGAATGTCAGTTGCTTTAGCATTTTATTTTCAGTCCGTGACTGTGAAAATTGACAGAATGTCGGTTGTTTTAGCATTTTTTTCCAGTCCGTGGCTGTGAAAATTGCCAAATTCCACTTTTGTTATATCATTTTTCCCCAAGTCAATAGCTGTGATAATTTACAGAATGTCGGTTGTTTTAGCATTTTTTTTTTCAGTCCGTGGCTGTGAAAATTGCCAAATTCCCCTTTTGTTATATCATTTTTTTTCAGTCCGTGGCTGTGAAAATTGACAGAATGTCGGTTGTTTAAGCATTTATTTCCAGTCCGTAACTATGATAATTGACAGAATGTCAGTTGTTTTATCTTTTTTTTCCAGTCCGTGACTGTGACAATTGACATAATGCCTGTTGTCATAGCATTATTTTCCAATCCGTGGCTGTGAAATTGACAGATGTCAATTGTTTAAGCACATTTTTTTTCAGTCCGTGGCTGTGAAATTGACAGATGTCAATTGTTTAAGCACATTTTTTTTCAGTCCGTGGCTGTGAAATTGACAGATGTCAATGGTTTAAGCACTTTTTTTTCAGTCCGTGGCTGTGAAATTGACAGATGTCAATTGTTTAAGCACATTTTTTGTCAGTCCGTGACTGTGAAATTGACAGATGTCAATTGTTTAAGCACATTTTTTGTCAGTCCGTGGCTGTGAAATTGACAGATGTCAATTGTTTAAGCACATTTTTTTTCAGTCCGTGGCTGTGAAATTGACAGATGTCAGTTGTTTAAGCACATTTTTTTTTCAGTCCGTGGCTGTGATAATTGACATAATGCCTGTTGTCATATCATGTTTTTTTCAGCCGTGGCTGTGATAATTGACAGAATGTCGGTTGTTTAAGCACATTTTTTTTAGTCCGTGGCTGTGAAAATTGCCAAATTCCCCTTTTGTTATATCATTTTTTCCCCAGTCCATGGCTGTGATAATTGACAGAATGTCAGTTTTTTAAGCACATTTTTTTTCAGTCCGTGCTGTGATAATTGACAGAATGCCTGTTGTTCATATCATGTTTTTTTCAGCCGTGGCTGTGATAATTGACAGAATGTCGGTTGTTTAAGCACATTTTTTTTCAGTCCGTGGCTGTGAAAATTGCCAAATTCCCCTTTTGTTATATCATTTTTTCCCCAGTCCATGGCTGTGATAATTGACAGAATGTCAGTTGTTTAAGCACATTTTTTTTCAGTCCGTGGCTGTGATAATTGACAGAATGCCTGTTGTCATATCATGTTTTTTTCAGCCGTGGCTGTGATAATTGACAGAATGTCAGTGGTTTTCGCATTTTTTCTAGTCCGTGAATATTATAATTGACACAATGTCAGTGATTTTAGCATTTTTTTTCAGTCCATGGCTGTTATACTTACAAAATGCCAATTGTTCAAGCATGCCTTCTGTGGCAGTGATAATTGTCAGATAGTCGGTGATTTTAACAAGTTTTCCGTTAACAAGTGTCATTTATAAGACAAATCATGGCCAAACTAAGCGTAAGTGGAACTCAATCTTACCAAGATTACAATATTAAAGAAAAGCGTAAAAGACAAATATAATAGGCATTTTGTAAATTTAAGTTGTATTAATCGACCAGGGTACGCCCTAGTCTGGATTACCTGCCCTTTTCTCTCCGTTCAATAGTCTGGATTACCTGCCCTTTTCTCTCCGTTCAATAGTACTAAATTTTATAGTACGACGGGAACCAGACCAGGTACGCCCCCGTGTTCCATGCTAGGTGTGTCGGTATCAGTGTTAACTCAGGTGTATAAAACATAACTTCGCTTGAATAAGCTCAATATGGGTGGAACTTGAATTTTCACGTGCCACTGATTTTTTGGCGTTAACGTTACAAAGTTAAAACCCAGATCCCTGCAGTTTACTATATTTACCATGCGATATAAGTTATTATGCATGCACCATATCTTTGCTATTTTCATAAAGTACAAATCTATACTAACATACCATAATTAAAAAAAATCTACTCTAGGTTTGATTTACTTACGAAGAAGTGTAAAACAAGTGTGCATTCCTTTTCCAGTTCTAGTGAAGTGCAAGAGGTGAAATTCATCGATCTTTTATAATCTTTTTTTTTTGTATATTTTATTGAATTATCCAAGATTGATCGATATACATGAACGATTTTTAGGTGTCGAATGATGTTGATGCTCTCGCAAATCGTTTGCAACGCTTTAACGTTTGTAAACACGCAAATTTTGTGGGTTATACTGTCTCACTCTTTTTATGAATTGAACGTAAACAAAAAGTTTAAATTTTTTTCTGAGCCACGTGGGTCATTGACTTCTCGACTTCAAAATTGAAAGCAATACAGGCAAAATCAAAATGTATTTTGACCTTGACCTATACACCTAATATTTTTACACTAGTATGGGCATAATGCCACTAGAATAAGTCAATTTAACTGTAGGCATAATATATACATTATATAGTTCTCCAAGAGTTTGTATAGCTTTGAATTTAGAACGTGATTGAGACGGACTTTTTTATTATCGCAATTCATTTAAATAAAATCACATCAAATGTCATCAAACGAACAGATGATCCATATCCCTAATGATTCATTACGATTCTGTGCGTTCCAGATTGAAAATCTTTGATAAAAATAGTTCATAAACAGGGCTGGAATTAGGTCGAATTAGATAATGATATAGAGACCCCGGGAGAGACCCCGGGGCCCCGGGAATTGACCACTACCATATCGCTTTCAGAAAAGCCGAGATCGTATTCAACATACAAAGTCCCCAAGAATTGGTCATAGACGTCAAAAGGTTTTTTTGATCAATTATGTAAAGTATATCTTATAAAAATATTGTATAAAATGATAATGATTAATTACATGAACATAAACGTTTCCTTAAATTTTAGTTAACAACATTCGCAAGCAATCGAGTTGAGACATCACACAGAACATTTTATATTTACAAAATATACAAACAGTTTTCACTTTGCATATGTCATAAAAACATAAACGACTAATAATTTGACACTATTATAAAACATGCATTGAATATTTACTTCTACACAATAGTTTGTCATTTTGGACAGGACTTAATAGCAATGATACAATTTCTGCATTCACAATCTTCAATACTAATCCTTGCATTGGCATACATACATTTGAAATTTTGCATTCAATATACATAGAAGAAGGACAAATCAAACATGAATATTTATCACCTTTTTGCATATTTCAAGTACGATAGCAAGTTTTGGTAAGCTCAATGAGTGGAGTGTCGTACTGTGAATCGGGCGACCCGGGTTCGATTCCCGGACGTTGCTGGTCACTTTCTTAGTGATTGATCATGAAATCTTTTCTACGGCCATTTGTACTGTACCTTGAGATCTGCTCTGGTCTGTACAGAAGTTTCAGTTCCTTGATTAAGTGCCGGCAACTAGTACTGGTAAACTGCCGGACAACTGCAGCCCAGAAACAATGCGTTAGCTGAACTGTGCTGTGGTAAATTCACTGTGGCTTACTGTCGTAATCCGGAGTGAAAACTACCAACAATCACCACATATTTTCAATATAGAAAATGTTAAATGCAGTTTTGATCGTCGGGCATAAAATTGATCTTAATCATTTTTGTTTTGCGCAATGTTAAATGAAATAGATCGAAATACTTGAATAAACACCCAGTCAGTCAGGTTTTATAAAACATTTTATGAGCCGCGTCACGACAAAACCAACATTATGCGTTTGCGACCAGCATGGATCCAGACCAGCCTGCGCATCCGCGCAGTCTGATCAGGACCCATGCTGTTCGCTTACAACCCTATTACAAGTAGAGAAACTGATAGCGAACAGCATGGATCCTGATCAGACTGTGCGAATGCGCAGGCTGGTCTGGATCCATGCTGGTCGCAAACGCACTATGTTGGTTTTGTCGTTACGCGGCTCAAATGTTCACTTTTAACGCATCGTTAGAGCGTAAAACGGCTAACACCCTACAGTCGGTTGACTCTTAAAGCTCCACCACGACCAGGTTACCTAGCATTTTGACAATTGTAATAAATGTGTGTATCAGATGCATTAATTAAATTAATTGAAAAAAGAAAGAAAAAAAAAAACAACGTAAAACGCAACTATATACCTACCGGAAGTAAACATTTTACATTGCATGTCAAAATAAAAAAGAAACATGTGATAGCTTAAATTGGCTTTATATTATGACTGAAACGTGGGACATGATGAAACTTGTGTCCCGTCTAAAAACTATTTTTTAGATAAAGATAGGTATTCTAGGGTTAATGAGGGTCCAATCTTTCAGGCACTGAGAGTACGGACCCTGGACATCTTACTTTGACAATCAAAGTCCATGATGTTTTTAAATGTTATCATCTACTAAATGGTGACTCATTAATTTTGAATTTAGTAATTCACTGAATGATACTAAATATATGTATGCAAGTCGATTTTTTGTGATGAAACTATTTTGATGCACAGGGGGCCAATGAGCCCATTATATGCATCATGGAGAAAAATAAGGTGTTACTGCCAAAATAAATGATCACATCTTTCTAACAAGCCTGACTGACTGATAAGGTTATGTAACTCGGACTGTTACCTGACACATGTTTTCCGTATGCATGGCCGACATGTACGACCATTCTTTCCAGCTTTTCACAGACGAATTTGGGATGAAAATTTAGCCAAACAAGCGGTTCACTTTTTCAATTTTGTATAATTCTAGTAATGAGAATACCCTAAACCTTTGAATTACATTGTACTATATAGGTATTTACCTTATATAGCAGGGATCCTTTATTCTGAAAAATTATTTAAAGAAGCATACAATTTTCACCTAGAATCCAGTTCACATTAAGCTTTATTGCAATTGCAAAAATAAAATATGTAATTTTTCATTCAAATTCATTATTCTCTTGATAATATTGCGATATATATTTAAATATTTGTAAAGTAACTTCATGTCTCAATAATTAAACATTCTTACATTTCATAAATCATTATTTTGCAGTTATATATATGAATTAGATACATTTCATAAATCATTATTTTGCATTTATATATGTTCATGCCATGTGTCATTAATGTACACGTGAATTACATGTTGTACATGTACACAAAATATGGTGACAAGCTTGTTATACTTAAAGCAATTTATCTGTTACGTTCTGTTCTGCCGAAAAACAACCACATATAGATGTCGCGGTGTGTCTTTAAAATAGATTACAATCGGAGTGTTGAAAGAGAGATGTAATATATAATAGAAATAAATCTTACATATTTTAAATATATGCATGACTTGTATTTCGTCTGTATAATGTAATTTATAGTTAATTTTTTTGGGTAAAATAAAGAGTTAATTTTGAAGTTGCACGTCTCCGAATTAAAAAAAAAAGAAAGAGAGAGATAGAGAGAGAGAGAGAGAAAATAGTATACTTAAATAATAATCAAAAGTTCTTGAAACGTGACATTGGTAATTGCCTTATCTGTTTGTAATATATGTTGAACAACAAAAGGCAGTTAAAGAAAGTATACGCATGCATCTAGCTTTCACGTCCAAATCAAAGGCTTTATAATAGCTTTTTTCGTATTCAACTATTAGCATATCTTCCCCTTCATTATATGACGTTTTGTAAGCAAGATATGAAATACAGTAATACTGTATAAATAATTATTATTGTCAATTATATTATATAAATTGTCAAATTATATTTATACAAAGAGCTTTTGATAATGTCTTTGATATCGCAACTTGGGAAGACGGGTATTCTTTGATACGTTTATAACTAGACTAGGCATGAAATATATCTTTTTTCCAAATAATCTGGGACAGAATAACAACTGTCTCAGAAATAATTAAGCATAAATCCAGCGTTAGTTTTCACGACATAATCAACGGATTTATATTACATCTGGGATATACTGGGATATACGATATCGTATGTCCCAGATTACATGTAATATAATTTTAATCTAACATTGAAATTGTATCGACACCGTACAAAATAGAACGGCACGTGGAATATATTTTTCAGGTTCAAAATGAGTTATCTCCCTTTTATTTATATTCACCATTTGCACCGCAGGAATTTACATTAGAAAAGTCAAAGAAATTAACGGTTGTTTGTAGTTTTTGGTATATTTTGAATGTAATTTTAGGTCTTTTCGGTCGTTTTTGTAAAAGATTGGTAGGGAAAACATTCACATTTGATGTTCCAAAGCGCCATTGTGGCTATGCAAAACTTATTTAAATTTGAATCTGTTTACAATCATTTGAAATAATAGTGTTGGTTTCGTTAAGTCTTACTTTTTATAAATGAAATGATGGTTGCAAGTTTTATTTGCAGATTCTAATGCCTTGTCTACAAATGACTTCCACACCTTGGGAAAATGCAGATTTTGACTTTTGAATTATCGTTGATATCGTCTCTGTCGATGACAGCTCTAAAATGGTGACATAAAATACTTATAACCAAATTCCAAATATTGTCAATAGTTTATTGAATAGGTGTACATTTTGCACTTTAGGTTTCTTAAATGTATAAGTTAATATATATAAGTCTAAAAAAATCATACAGTTTCTATTATTTAACATAATCAGTTCTGAGTTGACATTTAAAATTAAATGGTGTACAAAGAAATACACTGCATTTGTAACTCAACAAATTCAATATGAAACATATAAACGTGTTAAGGTATTAAAAATTATGTAGGTTAGCCCTCATTCCAAAATTTTTGGGTTGAAATTCAACCTCATTCCCCTCTTAAATGAACATTTATTAAAGGTATATATATATTTCCCTAGCCTAACAAATTGTGGGCTATAGGGCTTTTTTATATAGACGATGGTCGCAGACATCTATGAAATATCAGATTATAAAATTGGTCTGTCTTGCCGTCGAAATATTGAGAATAATATTTCCCTATTTAAAAAAAAAATGGTTTCTACTATACTGGCCATTCAAAATGATATATCAATAAATTGTTTCAATTTGACTTTTCATTTGATAAGTTTATAATGACAATTTTTTTTTCCATCAATGCCAGTCTTATAATCCTTGTCTATATTAACTTTGATATTAAGTCTCATAAGAAGTTGTTTAATGATTTGTAAAAAAAAATATACATTTTATTTTTAGACTACAATGGAAGTTAGAAAACGGTCATCGACAAGAATAAGAAAGCCAACTGCAAAGTTGAGAGACAATCTAAATGTTACTGCTATAAAATCTGTGTCAAACAATTCAATCAATCAAAACCATTCTGACATAGTTGCAGATAATTGGACTAGTAATTCTGCATATAAGCCAACATGTGATGATCAATCATTTTCAGTGACACAAGATTATGGTGTTGGAAATGAATCCGGTTTAATTTGTAAAGCTATAAAAACTGAGGGTGAAGAGGAGAAAGGGAATAAAAATACAGCTGTGTCTTTTAATGATGTCAAGAATGACACTTTACTAGAATTTAAGCAGAAAGGTGATTCAATGTTTAATTGTATTTTATTATTCTGTTATATTCTATTTAACTAAATGATGCGGTCTTGTATTATCAATCTTTCTTTTCTTTGATTATATTTTTGCTTTAGATTATAACTAAATGTAAGAAACAATCTTGACATTAATTACTTAAAAATAAGGATGTAAATTCAGATGCATTTCAAGCAAGTCACTAATATTGTCATACCGTAATTTATGCATTGTACATTTTTTTATGTAAATTTATAAGGAGAAGGCCTTTATAAGGTCAGCTTTCGGACCCAATCCTCTTTCAACAATAAAAGCCTGTATTGTGTACATTCATTTCTGGTATTATTTGTATACATATGTATACTGTGAATTTGTTTGAAATAAATTATGTTTATACTAACTAATGTTTAATTCAAATTCAGGAACAAATTCTACAAGAAAAATTATTCACATAGAAGAAAGCAAGCCTGAAGACAAAAGTGAAGATGTATTAAACTCAGTTAAAAAACAAACTGTGCAAGTTTGTGTGAGGTTGAAAGATATGATCCTAATACCAGGAAAAGGTTGCAATGAGAAATCTGACAAACGAAAGAAAGACGATGATAGTGCGGAAAATTCCATTAGTCCTAATGAAAATAAAAGGAGGAAGTGTCTCACTCAACTTGAGTCAGATGACAATGATTCAGATCCTGTTTTAAATGATAGTGGGAAGGAAAGTTTAGAAGAAAATATTTCTGATAATGTTAGTCATGAAAATTTAAATTTGTTTAAAGAAGATGGGAGTTTTTTGGAGACGTACAAATGGAAAGCAGGATCTAAAGGTCTTAGATCGTGTTTAAGTGGTAATTTAAAACATTTTAGTAATAAGGAAATAGGAAAGTTTGAAGAATTAAAGGAAACAGATAAAGATGTGGATGTACTTGCTGAGATTGAATTTGAACATTTAGATATGTCTGATGAAGAGTTGTCTGATGCTGATGAAGACTTGAGAGAGGAATCTCTCCAGTGTTACATATGCTCTAAGTCTTTTAGCAAGAAATACTACCTGACAAAGCACATGGTCTTACATAGAGGTTTGTATTGTGTATTAGCTCAAGTTATTTCTTGCTCTCCAGTGTTTTACTGTAATATATCAGATGATTATATTCTGATAAACCACTAGTGAAATTAATAAATTATATTTTCATTATAACCAGACTATATCTGAATGCGGATGAAAAGAATATCATAAATAAATGGAATAACAGGCAGAAATAAATACCGTCATACGTACATTTGCTTCTTTAGGTCATCATGCATCATGTTAACAATGTAACAAAATAAGAGAAATGAAATAGAACTATTTTTCAAAATTGATGATGTGACGTCATGATATGATGACATCATTAAAGAGAATGTGCAACATAATGCGGCAAAAGTAGTAAAAAAATACTTAAATTCACTTAAAAAGCATGAAATTAAAAGAAAATGTATTTGTTCTACATATAAGATTGAAATATATTTCATTCGTGAACACCAACTTATCTATTTTCACTCGTGAAAATATTGCATCTGGTGTTCACTTAGTGAAATATATTTCAATCTTACATGCAAAACAAACAAATATCCTCTATTAATTTTTTTAATCATTTCAGGGTTATCTACTTGCCTAACATGTGCTTTATGCTTCTGGGGGAGTTCTAACCTTTTAACGTCTATTATGCTGGGTTCTTTCCTCATCAACATTTAGCAAAGACAAACTATGTACATTTATAACTAGTATTACTTAAAACATGAAAACTGAATGGCAAAAACAAAAATAAAATTTAATAACCTAGTATTTCTGCATAAAGCTGTGCATGCAGGTATACATTCAGGGAGAACAAAACATGCATTTACTGATAAAATAATGCAAGTACTTGCCAGTTTTGCATTTTTTTTTTTACATGTATATGCTATGCATGGCTATGTAAAACTAGCTAATACAGTGAAGGCGGCCCCCGTAGTTTCATTTTCTAAATATAAGTGACTGTGTCAGTTAATATCACACTAGCAAATGAAAATCATGATGAAAACCAGTCTCTTGTACGAAAAACAAATGACAAAAAGTGGAATTACCAAATCAGATGTAAATTTTTATGTACATGTAAGAATTGTGCTTATGCACCATTTTATGCCCATAAACATCTGCAGAAGCTCTCAGACTTGTTATATCCCTTGGCCAGTGTGGGCTCGGGGTTTAAATTTACCCTCATATCTCAACAGATGTAAATGCATGAAATGAGGTGTGTTAACCATCTGTTAAATATTATAATGAAAGCAATAATAATTTTTAAAAATTGGAGATTCTAGTCATTTTGTCTATCTTGTCTACATAATTATATTTGTTTTGTTCCAGTGTTAAGTTAAAACGTTCATTGAGAGATAAGAGAGTGTGTTTGGTTATATATTGCTTAGATATTCAATATTTTAGGCTTTAGTGGCAGGTTAGGCTAAATCATGTACTTCTTCTAATGTTTTCAAAGCAGGCATATTGTGCAGTTAAAATTGGCAATTAATACATACATATACATGTTCATTTGAAATTATATTGCCATTTCAGATGTGAAGCCTTTTCAGTGCGAGATTTGTGGTATGTCATTTGCTACAAAAGCTTACCTCACCCTCCATAGTGTGGTGCATTCTGGGATCCGTAAATATAAATGCGATATCTGTGATAAAGCCTTCCTGAGACAAGCAAATCTTAACAGTCACAAGCGAACTCACTCAGGTACATGTACATTGCATTACTACAAATTGAATCATAGTTTGGAGACTTTTCTAAAAGAAAATGTGACACAGTTAAATTGTATGCATGTACCCATAAATGCATGGTGCAACTGCGTTAACTACAGTCAGTGCATGTATTAGTTACCTGCACTCCAGTTACCGCAATGTCTGTCAGGATAAACATATATAATGCTCATTGATTGGCTACATTATTCTGGGGTTTACTTATTATAACAACAAGGAAAGGGATAATGATAGAAAAATCATTTTCAGATGCTCTTTCATTAGATTATTTATTCTTGGGTTTTATATTGTGATGAAAGGATAATTAGAGCTTCACTTATGGAAAGTGGTATGGTTTTCAATCCATTGTGAATGGGACTGAGCTCTTAAAAAGTATCAAAAATAACATTGCAATGTCAAGTTTGATGAAATTGTTATTCTACATTTAAAATAGACTTAAACTCATAAGGCTTAAAAAAAAAATTGATGTGTTTCTGGTGGCGAGGCAAAAAAAAGTAGGGTCGGTAGGTCGGACTTTTTTTTTTTTTTTTTTTTTAGTCAATCAACGATTGTAGATATGTCAGATACGGATTATATGTACTTTTAATTATATTCTATAGCATATAAAAGTACTTAAAATGATAGACTACCAAACCTAGTCTTCAATATTTTATTTTGAAATAAATTTTACCAGTGGCATGACTCGACTTTCGTTTTCATTTTTTTTATTCTTACCGAACAACTGGCTTCAATTTTAATATTATCACTCTTAACATGACCATGCACGTCCGAAAAATGTTTTGAGCTGTTTTGCTGTGGTCTATTAATTTGATTTCCTGTTTTGCCAAACTATGATCGTATTTTTAAAGAAAATCGCCAGCAGTGACACTTCGGCTGCTTGTTGTGCCGCCATATTAGCCGGTGCGCGTTAATACGTAATTGGAACCCGAATCGTCTGTGCCTCACATCGTTGTCAACTCGCAATACTAAAACCCGTCTTCGGTACGGTCGGTACGGGCGCCATTTTTTTTTTGTACATCGATAAAAAACTTTGGGTCGGCCCTAAAAAATAGGGTCGGTCGGGCCACCGGAAACACAACATTTTTTTTTTTAGGCCTAATGTACAATGTACTGGAACCAATTCCTCAGATCTTTCTCTAACAGTAAAGCAGGGAATAGTTAGTAAAGATGAAAAACTAAAATAATCTGCAAATTATGCAACATTTGATTATTTCTGTACAGATGTCAAGGCGTATTCCTGTGATACATGCAATAAGAAGTTCAAAACCAAGTCTGGCCGGGACTTCCACAAAAAAGAACATGCTTCTAATCAGGAACACCAATGTCACCAGTGTGGCAAGTCTTTCAGGCAACATAGCTACCTCCTAAAACATATCAGTATACATGCAGGTTAGTATTGCCAGTTTTCTTAAATATATCAGTATACATGCAGGTTAGTATTGCGAGTTTTCTTGAATATATCAGTATACATGCAGGTTTGTATTGCCTGTTTTGTTAAATATATCTGTGTACATACAGGGTTTTATTGACAATTTTCTTAAATATATCGGTATACATGCAGATTCGTATTGCCTGTTTTCTTAAGTATATCGGTATACATGTTTTTTGCTTGATTTTGAAACAAGATTAGAAAACAGATAGATTCTAGTAGCCTGTGTCCTTGATCCTTTGATAAAAAGACAGAGACAATAACTAATAGAAAAGGGGAGGTAATAAAGCGATAGATACAATAGGAGGAGGTAATAAAGAGACAGATTCAATAACCAATAGAAAAGGGGAGGTAATAAAGGAATGGATACAATAACCAATAAAAAGGGGAGGTAATAAAGAGATAGATACAATAACCAATAGAAAAGGGGTGATAATAAAGCGATAAGATACGATTACCAATAGAAAACTGGAGGTAATAAAGAGACAGAGACAATAAGCTATAGAAAAGGGGAGGTAATTAAGAGATAAATACGATAACCAATAGAAAAGGGGAGGTAATAAAGAGATAGAGACAATAACCAATAGAAAAGGGGAGGTAATAAAGAGACAGAGACAATAACCAATAGAAAAGGGGAGGTAATAAAAAAATTACAATAACCAATAGAAAAGGGGAGGTAATAAAGAAAAAAGATACTATAAAAAAAAGAAAAGGGGAGGTAATAAAGAGAAAGAGACCATAACAATAAAAAGGAAGAGGTAATTTATTTGTGTTCTCCCTCTCAGCTGATGTTGGACATAAGTCCTGTTTGGGATTGCGCAATGTCTCCTCATATAACGCTTGTACTGGAAAGTTTTAGAAATCAGATTCTGAAGTTCTTAAGTAAATGATAGGGTGCGAAAACACTTGTTTGATAATCAAGCTTAAATGTTTGAATTTACAAACAGACCACTGTTTCTTTTACCATTCAAGTACATTCGAATTTTATGTGTTTACTATTACAGGTGTCAAGCCTTATAAGTGTTCACTGTGCGAGAAATCATTTCCCTACAACCAAAGTCTGCAGGAACATATGAGAATACATACCGGTGAAAAACCAGAAACTTGTGATAAATGTGGAAAAAGGTTTGTTGGTTCCCTTTATTATGACTTAAATTCCAACTTTTGCACTCCAACTTTGTAAGTTATTCTTTATGGAGACCCTGCTTTACCTACAGACTCCAGCCATTTTCGCCGCTGTTCATAAATTTATAAGAGATACTAATAGAATCTAACATGTAACATAACAGTTGTCATACAACATTGTGTCCCTTTTGACATAGTGTATATCAAAATGATTGTAAATGATACGTTTGTTTCATATAGAAGCATCCACTTACTCCCCTTTTACTCTTTCTTTCTCTCTATTATTCTCTATCAATTTCTTACATATCTATAAATATTTTAGAATTTTTCTTTATTTTCTCACTTTATCTGGTATAATTAGCATTAGAATAAACCATTTTTTTTATTTTCATGTATATGTATAGCTTTTGTTAAAGGAGAGGACTACCATGAGCTATTGCAGCTCTTGGTCTAATTCCTTTCTTCTTTAAATTGTAAAATATTAACATGTGAATATATCTTGAATAAAAATATGTTTGAACCAAACATATCTTTCAATTTAAAACTTCTGTAGATCTATAACGTATGTTTCTTGCATCTCAGACAGGATTATCTACCGTTTACACCGGTGCAAGAAAACTCTGTCTTACACCCCCCATGTAAGACAAGTCGCGTGCTTTAAATGACGTCATTGCTGCGTGCCTTTTATGAATGAATTGCGTTCTTAAGATGACGTCATTTTTCCATTATGAATGAAATTGTATGTTCATACGCTACTATAAGAAAAAAGTGCGTAATGAGAATATCAGTTTTAATAATTTCTGTTCTGAAAATAATTGACATGTAATATGCAAGAAAAAGAATCAAACACTGGCTGTCGGTACAGACAGGAATATCTTGCTCTCGGGTAACTGTTTAGCGGAAACTCGGCAGAGCATGGTTACCGCTGTAAACAGTTACCCTCAAGCTAGATATTCCGGTCTTTACTGGCAGTCGGTGTAAGATTCTTATAGTATTCTAATTTAATATCACAGGTTTTCTAAACAAGGAAAGGAAAGGCGATTGGTAAGTTGGAATAATTATTAACTGTTATATTTAAGACCTTGTTTTATTTTTCTTTCACAGCTTTAACAACAAACGTCAACTGAAGTCACATATGAAATATCACAATAATGTTACACAGTTTTCCTGTAAGTTGTGCAACATGTTTTATGAATCAGAACAGTCTCTCAATAAACATATCACTAAAACACATAACAGAAAATATGATTGCAGACTCTGTAGCCAAAGTTTCGTCAATAAAAAGCATCTAAGATCTCACCAAAATAGTGAACATAAACAACTGTTGTCCGAAGGTCGTCTAATACCTGCTGGTAACCTAGCTAAGGTAAAGAAAGCTGTTTGCTCGCTGTGTAATTCTGTATTCTTCAATCGGTATGTGTTAAGCAAACACCTAATGTCAATACATCGTTTACCAGAACAAGATATGAAAGAATTGTTGAATATAAGAAAGAAAGGTAGCAGTAAAAACCATGCAGACAAGAAACAGACCAATGAATTAGATGTGGAAACTGTTGACAATGACAAAAGTTTTCGTGTTTACTACAAAGATGATGAAATGGCAGTGTATGTGAAAGGAACTGATAATTTTGAGACTCGATTGAAAGCTATGACTGAAAGTAATGAAACAGACAAAGGTGGTATCAAAGTTGATGATGCAGTCAGATTCATAGTTCTGGAAGATAATGAAATAAATGATGTGAATAACTACAATGAGGTTACATATTCCGATGGTGCAAACGATGTGTTTGACCATAAGGATAACGAGATGAATAAAGATGCTCATAGGCAAGATGCCTTCAATACTGTAGCTTCAAGTACTGATGAAGGAATGGAAGCTGGAGTGAATACAGCTTCTAGTGATCAAAGTTATTATGTGGTTTTTGCTGAACCGAATGAGAACTCTGAGAAGATTGTTGAACAAATACAAAGTGAAGTTATTGTGAAAGAAGAAATTCAAAATTTGCCAGATGATGGAACTGAGAGAATTGTGCTGATTTTAAATGAAGATGATGATGGGAAAAACTTCATGCTTGAAAACGGTGAGCAGCTGCAGATTCTGTCTAATAATATGGAGTTCTTGACTACAGAAAACGTTCAAGTGGATAATGAATATGAAGTTGTTGCAACAGATCCGTTGACTGTGGTTGAAGATTTGAATTGTCAGAAGCCCATCCTAGCACAGGAAGAATGTGTTGTTGAAGCCAGTAGTAAAACTGATCCTGTTGTGACAGGTACAGGCAGTGTTATAGACAGCAGCAATCTACCTTTGTTGGAACAGTTTCAAACTCGTGAATTTGTCAGTGATATTGAGAAGCTAACAAATGTACCAGATAAAAGCAACAGTTTGGAAAGGAAGGAAAATTCACAGAACAACATTGTGTTACCTGTTTTAAGCCATAAAGTGAGGAGGACAGAGATTCTTGATGTGCAATGTCAAAGCTCATCTGATACCAAAGAATCAGACTTTGCTGAGGAAACGTACACTTTTGCTAAATCAGGAGACACTGCTGATCCTCAGACTTCCATGACTGCTGACATAAATGAGAAGAAAAACTTGTTTGAATTTGAATCACATGACCTGGAAGAGATTCTTCCTAAAAACAATTCAGCTGAAGAATTTACTAATTTTGAAAATGCTTTGAAATTAAAATCAGGAGCTTTTCAGAGTCAAGACGAGTATATAAAGTTTATAGACAAAATGATTCAAACGCTGCAAAAAGCAAAGCATACTGAAAATGACTGACATCTGAGAATCTAGGATAAAACTGAAACAAGGTAAACAGAAGTAGAAACAATTTTTTTCTGTGAAATTTAAGTTATTTGTTGTTGTTGTTGTTGGTTAAGAAACGGCTTAAGTGCCTTTGAATATGATTCCATGCTTTAATAGGTATTAAACTATTTATTTACATTACACTAAGAAAAATTGAACTTGTACATTACACTAAGAAATATTGAACTTGTACATGTACTTACCTACTATACATTTACATGAGACGCTTATTTAATTATTAATGATAATACTGTAATTAATAGTACAAAGTTTATACATAGCCTTCAGGATCATTTCTTTGTGCAGATATTTCAACAGATTTTTTCAAATGGCATGAGACAGTTTTTATTTCAATCCCCATGTTAAGAAATTACTTTTCTAAACAACACTATATGAATTGTCAAAGGGAGAGCACTGTTTATTACAGAGTGATAGATAGGCAAAGAAGAAATTCTGAAGATCAGCCATTAATAATGTTTAGGCTCCCCTTGACTTAGCCTGTTGAGGGGCAACAGTAGGTATTGTAAGCTACCATTTTAACCTGTTAACACGAGTTTAAGCAAAATTAAGCATTATTGTACGATACTATTTATCCATAAGGAACATCTAAAGCTAAGTTAAGCTAAGCTAAGGGAGATGATTATGTAACACCTCTGCGTGACACTCAAAAAAAGTGTAACTTTTGTTTGTACTGGGTATTTATATCTGTAATATTTTATCACAGAAATTGCATTTCTTTTATTTATGAAAGTATATATACATGTACTTACTAGAAGATAATTTAATTATTTCTTCAGAAATAAAGATACATTATTATAGTTCGTATTAACCATATTTAAATAAATTAACTAGTGAATTTTCTGGACTAATATTATTATTTATCTGATGTGTTGAATATTGATGGCAATTTTTTTAAAAAATTTATATCAATTATTGTTTAATATTTGTTCTTTACACACCATATATTATTTGCTGTCCTTTGAGAGAAAATACTGTCAGGGCAAGAAGATTCATTAATGAGATATGAAAAATATATGCAAAGTGGAAAGTGAAGACTAGAAATACATATGAGCCACGTCACAACAAAACCAACTTAGTGCGTTTGCAACCAGCATAAATCCAGACCAGCTATCAGTTTCTCTTCTTGTAATAGAGTTGGTAAGCAAACAGCATGGATCCTGATCAGACTGCGCGGATGCGCAGGCTGGTCTGGATCCATGCTGGTCGCAAAAGCACTATATTGGTTTTGTCGTGACGCGGCTCATATATTTAAATAGTTGAACAACTTACTGTTGAAATGAATATGTTGGTGATTTTGTCACTCAAACTACTCAAAGGAGTTACTTCCTCTGATTTATACAGCACCAAAGAGAAATCACTTGGTAAAGAATGTGTGTGCCTTTTCTTGGGAATCCTATTGGTATACTTGTAATAATTTTTTTTAAATGAACTTGAATGGCAACAAAACATTTACTTAAAAAATTATGTAATTTTATGGAAATTATTGTAAAAATTGTTGGTGTTTCTACTGTATAGAAAATCCTATTAAAATCTGCACTGTATTGTTTTTTTTCTATTGGGTCTTTGTTACTGTACATTAGTGTTTGATTTGTGGTTTATTTTAATACAAAGTACCAATACTTTTAAGATTTCTTATGCATTGTCTTTGTTACTATGAATATCTTCATGCCATGTAGAAACTATGTTTGTTTATTAGTAAATACTTATGTACTTAAATCATAAATTGATTTTGAACAAAGGCATCGTTTTAGCTGGTTCATTAGACGGACCTTATAAAAATCTGTGATCATTGGAAGAATAAGGGAGTCTCCTGCTCACTGGTATGTCACAATTATTCTTTAAGGTTGTGCTAGGAAAAGTGAACATGTGTACCTAGTATATATTTAGATGATTTCATGTAAAAGTTTTGTAGAAAAGGGCAGTCTGAAAATGGTCGGAAGGATTCACTTTGATACATAAGTTGAAGACCTCTTTCAAAAATTTTGACTGAATAAAAAACCCTTTGTGATTTAAGACATCTTCTGGTTAAGGCTTTGCACTAAAATCATAGTCAAATCTATTGAAGGTATTCATTTGAATTGTGTATTTTTTATTGAAATATGGCGCTAGGGTGATTTAGATTTTAATTCCTAGTATTAAGTTTTGTATGCAAGATCGATCTTTAAAGCAAATGAAGGTATTCAATGTAAACTTAAAAACCTCAGGAATAAATAAATTGTTCTGTCTGTAAAAAGAGCAATCTTGTGTTTTAAAATATAATAATAATGAATTTCGATATTGTATCGTTCTTAAAACCACTGAATATATTGTAATTTGTGATAAAGGTAGCAAAATGTAAACAAATTGGTTATATAACTGCCATACAAAATAATAATAAATCACCAAAAGTGTATTGTTAAAACGCAAAAGAAGCTATTAAAGGTGATTGTGCTGATCAGTAAATACATATAACTTGTTTGAAAATGTTACAAAATACCAAAATTTCAAGAGCTTCAGACATTAAGAAATATTTCCATTTTTAAAGTGAATATAAAGCTATATATGGTGGAAAATTTAATACAATTTTAGAATGGTTAAATGTTTTCACAATTTAATGATGTTTTTTTAAAAGCTTTGTGATGTAGAATGTTTATATAATTTTATATTTTGTATGTAAACAAACTATTCTGCCGCTTTAAGTAGGTCTTGGCGATAATTGCACACATGTCTCGTTTTCAATAAAATGTACTGCGTGACTTCTTTTATTTACAATATCAACAAAATAATGATAATTATTTAATTCACACTCAGCAAATGTATAGCTTTATACACTTAAAAGGTCAGTACTCAAGATATCTTAAACTCTAACATTAGTTCTGAATTAATTAATTATGGCTCTTTGAGAACTTCCTGGTTTTGCATGCAACTTCGAGCTTAAAAATCTGAAGTGTTACACAGATCTGTAGGTCGGTTTCTGAAGTATACTAGTATCATTTATTTTTAATGTGCTCTTTCTTTGGGAATTCTTACATTATCAAGCAAGGCGCTATTAAACTGGCATTATAGTTATCTGTTTGAAAATATAATTTTACCATATTAAAGTGACATTATGCTAATTTAAGTGTAAATAGTAAGTGCACAGATGAAAGTCCAGATAACTTTACATTTTGCCATAATTGTAATCAATTTTATATTTTACTATCATGCAAAAATAATAAATTATCTAGATGACTCACGGGTATTCCATAAATATAGTTCGGAATGAATCGGTAACGTTCACATTTTAAGAAGTTACCATTATAATAGTAAATCTCTTGAAAAGTATTACTAATTCAAGCCATCTTATCAGCGAAGGGAGAGACATAATGTCACTTGAACTCCTTGAGTTCCCGCGATGAAAATAACATGTAAATGTCCTTATTCAGCTTTTATATCTGTGGAGTATTTTTAGCCTCTATACACTGTTGGTTGGCGAATATTTGAGCGCAGTTTGATCAGGATCCATGCTGTTGGCTATCGGTTTCTCTACTTGTTATAGAGTTGGTAAGCGAAAAGCATGGATCCTGATCAGACTGCGCGGATCCATGCCGATCGCAAACGCACTATGTTGGTTTTGTCGTGACATGGCTCATATGTATTTTGATATTGAAATCCCTTAGCTTATATAGCAACCTCTTCCAGTTCAAAGCAGAGCAAACGAATAACCTAGTCGTCTTTGGCAAATTTTGCATTTGAAATTAGTGAAACACAATTAAAGAAGGTTTCCAACATATAATATACCAGACATAGTCCTATGTCGCATGCGCGAAGGAAAAAAACTGACTCTTTGTCTTGCAGAATAATTCTCATGAAGGCGTAGTTATACCACGTCAACTTAACTTGACCTCAAAAATTAAAAAAGCTGACTCTGTCTTGCAGAATAATTCTCATGAAGACGTAGTTATACCACAGCAACTCAACTTGACCTCAAAATTAATAAAACTGCCTCATTGTCTATTAGATTAATTCTAATAAAGACAGCAACTTGACCTCCTTACACTTCTTGTCTTTTCACAAGCACCCAGATGTTCAAAGATACTTATACAAATAAGTATAGATCTTAAAGAATATATATATAGATATATAATTATAATTATTCTAAAGATAATTATGACTTTCGTACATAAATGCATTTAAGATTTAACTAATGTCCTCTTCTTGATAAAAGAAGTCTTACTGACTGAGCAATTTTGACTCAATTCTGGAAGGTCATAAATGATACTTGCTAATTTGTGATCTACAGCCCCACCTCTAACCCTCAAGAAAAAAAGTGCAAAAAGTAGTACATAGAGGGTCAATATTTTTTAAATGAAATACGTTCTTGGTGGATAAGGTAGTGGAACTAGGTCAGAGACTTAATGATTTTTTATTCACTTTGTCATAGAAGATATTCATAATTGAAACGTGTATGGAATTATGAAAGGAAAACTATTTTTTCTGTTTAATATACAAGCTGCATCTCTCTGGATATGTTGAAGGGGGCGTGGTCAAGTGATTAAGGTCATTTACTTCAAACCACTTGCAGCTCACCGCTGTGGGTTAAAATTCCGCTAGGGATTTCTTTCGTGTGTGGAGGCTAACCATCTCCGAAGAATACCAAAGGCCATCCTCCACAAGTTAAACATGAATGTCGCTATATGACATTTACTGTGTTGATGCAACGTTTAATCAAACTAAAAATATAGATATGCGAACATTGTTTCAAATAATCAAACTCTAAAATGTCTTGAGAATTAAAAAATTTATCAATATATACAGTCCATATAATGTTTTACATTTAAATGCGAAATATTGCATTTTTTAAAAAGTTTTTAATTTTCACTTTTTCCCCCCGGTTTAAAGGGAGCTTTTTTTCCCAATATTTTTTTTTTTTCCCAGTTTGGGTAGTTTCTTTAATTTCTGGGCTAATTTAAAATTTTGGGGTGCCCATAAATTATTGGTTTTGACCTATACTGTTTAATTTGATGTGAACCTAAAAAAAGTAAAAAGTACTTTTTGTATAAAACTTAAAAGACTTAAATTTTCCAAAATTTCCCAAAATTTATTCGGGGCATAAAGTTACAGGGGGCCAAAAATTTTATTTTGGGGAATAAAAAAAAAAACCCAAACATTGCAGATACCTTTTTAAATTAAAAATAAAACCCAAATCTATTCTAATCCACTTTTTAAATTTAACAAATTTAAAAACAAAATAAAATTTTGAAAATTGGGTTTACCCCGGGGGTTAAAAATATAAAAGAATGGGTTTTTTTTATCGGGTAAAAGAAATGAAAATTTTTTATGTAATATACGAGAACATTTGGGGTTTTTCCAAAATTAGGGTTTTAACCAAGCTTCTACCCTTTAAAAACACTCAAAATAAAAATCTTTTAAAACTTTAACCCGAAATTGTCATTTTGGTAAAAATTTTTCCAAAAGGGGTTTTGTAACCCTTTCCCCATCCTATTTCAAATACGGGATGCTAAAAATTACCGGGTTAAATTTTGATACAGAAAATCAAAAATCCCTAAAAAATTCAAAAGACACAATTGTAAATTTTTGGACCTTTTGTTTGGACCTTTAAAAAAAGGGTAT